GTGGCCTAGATCCAAAAGTTTTTGCTTGACCTTCACCCCTCTTTCGTTCTTTTTTGAACCTCCCACCCTTTCACGGCCCAGGTGGAAACCAGCTTCCACAAGGCCTGATTGCGGGGGCTGCACACGCATGGTTGCCAGCCTTTCCGCTTCCAACAATTTGTTGGCTTGCTGCATCCCGTGGACCCGTCTTGCCTGTGCCAAGAGGCCTGTTCGCTTTTTGCTGAACACGCGTTGTCAGCAAGCCTTCCAGTGTCAAGCATGTTGTCGGCTTACTGATCCGCAGGACCAGTTTAAACCTATGCAGTAAGGACGCATTCCTCGTTGGCCACGCCAGTTTGAACCCATGCTGTGCACGCAGTCGCACATCGCTGAATGCCATCGGCAAACGGTCGGACCAGCCTGGTCGCCTTCAGGAGGACGCATTCCTCCCATGCGCACCTATGCGCGCACTGCATACCGTCACCCCGGGGTAAAACACCCTGTTTGATGGTCGAACACGCAATGTTGACCACAGGGGGGGCCGCCGTGGTAGCGTGCTTCCTTCCGTTGATTTGGCTCAAGATGTCAGCCAGCGCAACATGGCCTCCTTGATGGTGCGGATGGTGCGCTCCGCAAAGTGGCGTGGCCCCTGGTCACCTGCTTCTCAGAAATCCATCACTTCTTAAACTCCCTCTTAAACTCGGAGCCGTCGTTGGATGCATTCCGACAGGCTCCGCATGAGATGCAGGAAGATGGAGTGGACGCGCATCGTCACTCCACCTGCATTTCAGAGCCTGCGCTTCTAAGCAACGCTCAAGTAAAAAAGCGCGTGTCGAGTTTGCTTCGGTTGGATGCTTTTTTCCTTGCTTGTCCCTGTAGGCTTGAAGCAGTGACCAAGATTCTAACACTCGCGTTTTGGAGGAACATTTTGGCGGCTTCCTGCAGCATTTTGGTTGGGGCTTCGGTCAAACACATAGGATAAGTTGGCCCGGGCGTCGCGAGAGTTGTCAAGTCTGGAACCAATTTTTGCAGCTTTTGAACATGTTAATGTGCGGTACATGCATTGAACAACTTAAAAATGGCTCTATCATACCAGGTACTTGCAAATTTGTTTGCAGGCGTCAAGGATATCAAGTTCTTTTTCCGGACAACACCAGAAACACCATGGACAGCGCGGAGCAAACACATCAGTGTTTCACAGTATCCACCAGCCAAATGCATCCGTGCCAGTAGCTACGCTTCCCTTTGCTCGACAGCATTGCAGCAATGACGGCTGAAGCAAAGGAGCTGACAGCAGAGGACCGACGATCATGAAACCAGGCAAGAAAACGCTGGCTTGAAAAACTTTACGGCCTACTAGGACTTGCAGATTTGCCATGATTTGCCTTTTTGGCAGCGGTGTTTCGAGTTTTTTTTGGATTTCAAAGCTTCCTGGAGGCTTGTGGCCCCTCCACAAAAGGCCGGTTTTCTCACTCTTTTGGCCATTTGGCCCGAATTTTTCCTCACGAAACGGACACCTTTTCAGAGATCGGAGAGCCTGTCGATCAGCACCAAGGGTTTGCCGGGGTGCTTGTTAGAGCTGGCCCCAAGAAGAAAGGCAACAGGACCACCCCGGTTAGTCCGGGGGTTTGACAGATGTCATTTCATGGGAATATCTTGCGCATTCAGAGCAAACCGACAAGGCAGGGTGTTGATCTCTCGGGGCCGGCTCTCTTTTGCCCCGAGAAGGGTTCTCAGAATCCCCACGAGTGCCCCCTCGAGGATTCCTTTCGACCTTTCTAGTGGGGTAGGGGGTCTTTGGTTTCCCCAAGGTCGACTCAGGTTACGGACTGTGGTGTTCACCCCAAAAGTGATCCGGATTCGTTGTAAAATGGCTCGTGGTTGGGCAAGAAATTGGGTTTGGCCATAAAGGGTGCGTTGTTTCTGCACGCAAGGACGCGCAGTTGTCGGAGATCAGCAAAACTGTGGAGGGCGCAGGCGATCCATCGGCCTGGGAACGGCTGGGGGGGGGGGATACAGCTATGATTTTGTTTTGGATGTCCTCAGCGTTTTGATTCGCAGCTCTTCCAGTCTCGAACGAGAAACAGCCCGGGCGGCAAGGAATCCCATGTGGGTGTTTGCCAGCCGGACTTTCGTTTTTTCTTTGTCTGATGAGCATCTACTCTCCAAGGGAAAAACTCGGGGTGCCTCAGCGAAGTCGCGTCTTTCAGCGGCAGTCGATAGGTCCGGATAGGCGTCAAGGAGTGGTTTAGAGCTTCTTCTCCTTGGGCGTTTTCAGGTTCAGTGGCCGGGGAAAGAACCAACAAACGATCCAGGTGTCTTTTGCCGAGGCTCGGAACCCTTAGGTCATTTGGAGTTATTTAGGGTTGGGTTACGGGTGGTGGATTGTCTAGGGTTGGTTTGCGGTCGGCTTAGGGTTGGCTTGGGACATCTGGAAGATTGATTTTTTGGGGAACGGCCTGCCCGCCCTGTGATGGCTTGCTTGCGTTTGGTTTGGTCTTAGTAAGGAAGTTTGGAAGGAACTGCGGTGGTACGGACACTGATCTGACAAAAGACAGAAGAATAATTCAGCACGCATGAAAAAATGTGTGAGCAGGTGGCAGGGAATGCACATATCCAAAAAGTGCGGAGCGAGCCGAAGCGACACAGCGGTGTAGGGGGTCGACCCACACAAAAGGGCGCAGAGGGGGACTGGGCGGCGGGGGGGGGGGGAGCTACCGCCGGAAGGGAAAAGGAAGGCAAAAGAACCAAAAACGAAACCATATATGTACGCATAGATATGTATAGACATAGAGACAAATATTGATCTCTGTTTGTGCTGTCTTGCTTCTGTTCCGGCAATACGGCAGCCACATGAAAAATGTCCGAGGTTGTGGTGTGATCCCCACTGGCGGTGTCCAAAACTGTCCTGGACGCGCACATGCACGCACACACACACACACAGACCCTTGACAAATCAAAAGGACGATCAAGCATATGTGCTTTGCTTCCTCCATGGTCGGTACGTCACTTCTGGTGTCGCCTGTGTACTTTTAGCCCTTGGCTTGTGACATGACACGCAGACCCAAATGTCATGTCGGGGGCTGTATCGTAGAGGTTGTGCTCGCTGGGTTTGCTTTTGGTAGAAACAAAGCCCTACAGTCAAATGAGTGGGAGTGCTTACAGTAAATTCCAGCTTTGTCAGATGACCACGTCTTGATGCCAGAAGGCTGGCAGGCGTCGCACGGCAGGTTTCGCGTACTCCCGCTTGAACTGCAGCATCCTCAGCTTGCGCCAGGGTCCGGTTCGATTGACGGTTGAAGTATCTACTTAGGTGTTCGGCCAAGTTGGTAAGTGGTTGCTCACTTGTGGTGCCTCACAAACCGGGTTAGCTCCTTTTAGGGGATCATATGTTGGTCATAGCCTAGGTTACAAGCCCCAATTTTGAAACTGATTTTGAACCGCGCTTGCGCTTCTTTGTGCAACCTTAGGGAACATGGTCTGCTGTTGTTGTTTTTCCTTCCGTCAATCTGCAGAGGAGTATTTTCCACGGATTGCGGGCTGTTTTTCACGGACCTCAGGTGATTCCTTTTCCCTTTGCATCTGGAGACTCCCAGAGCCCCAGAACAGAATCCTCAACCCCCAAAGCCCAAAGCCCCAAAGCAACCCCTCAAAAAGGCCGAAACAGCGCAACCCCCCCCCAAAAAAAAAACATCTCCCAACTGTGTTGTCTTACTTACGATTCGCGGTTCTCACCAGAGGCGTGGGCAAGCAGATCTGCGGGCTGACGTTGCTGGCAGAGTGCCTTCCGTTCCGTCGACCGTCGGCCCGCCCTCGGTTGCGACTGACAAGCGGGCTCACCCTTTTTTTCCCCATGTCCGCCGGGCAAACAAGGCAAAACAAGCAGTTTTGAACATGGCACCTAAGCTTTGCTGTGAGGTATCCTTTTCTTCGGCACCTGGATCTATCGCAAAACTGCATCAAGGACAGCTATGGCCGCGTGTTTTGGCGGACGAGCGCTGGCAACATTTCGCAGGGTTTTACTTGCGGTGCAACGTTGCAGATGTATGAGGACCGTGTTTTGGAGCCCGACCTGTTTTTCGTGCACATAAACCACAGGGTGAAATGTTGGCAAAAAGCGGGTTTGGGGGTGGGCAGACGAGGGGAAGCCAGCCCCCGAAAGAGTTTTTGTTTTTTGGTGTTTCCTCTGAAAGCCAACCCTCAAAAACACCCAGTTGTATTTGAGACACCGTGACGTACGCAGGATGTGCGACCGATCAGCTCACTGCGCCATGTCCTCTCTCTGAATCTGTCGCATGGCTGGCCTGCTTTCAGATTTCGAATCGACACTTCCTCCCCAAGTTCCTTAATACTTTTTGGGAAGAGGGTATGGGGCAAAATACGGGACCCCCAAGCTTTTGGTTTTGATTTTAGTTTCCCTTTAAACCAACCAGACAAGGGTATCCTCAACCAAGACACGCCCAAGAGCATGCATATAAGTGGTCAATGAGCGGTTTGAACATGTTTGTTTCCAATCAACTCGATCGAAAGTGAGTCGTAAAGGGCCGGAAGTTCTTTTTTTTTTTTTTTACCCAAAACGATACCCAAAGGGGACGGGCAATCCTTTTCCATTTTTTTCCAGAGCTATATGGCACCCACTGTGACAACTCTTTGGGTAGAGTCCAGATCCGCATGTGGGTCTGTCTCAAAATGAGTCCCGACTCCCGACCCTTTTGGACCAACAGGGATCCTCATTGCATCACTCCTTCAGGTGGGTGGTTTCCTTTTGGTTTCCCTTTGAATACCAAAATAGGGTTCCTCATTTTGAGACAGATGCTAAATGGAATAGCAACTATTGGGAGGTTGCAAGACTCCTTGGTCTTCGAGCCAGGGTGCCGACTCCCGACCCTTTTGGATAAACATGAACCATACAAAGAAGCATGTCACACCCATTGAGGTTTGCTGGGTTTCCTTTTTGTGCAGAAACTTGTTGGTTGTCCTTTTGAAGCAGCAACCAATCGGAAGCGGCAAACTTGTGACAGGTCGAACGCGATCTCCTCAGTGGACTGGGCGCCGGAGGCGTGGTTTGTAGCCCTTTGTTGGGAGACCGAAGCCATTTTGGGGGCGCCCGATTTTTACATACTTATTCGGGCGTGTCTCAAAATGATGGACACCCGTTTTGGTCGGAGATTGAAAAGCCAAATGGAAACCAGAAACTTGTAGGGCGCCCTATTTTGAGAAACATCCGACGGTACCCCGTTTTTGGGTCGGTTTTAGCACGGAAGCCAAAATGAGATGGCACTGGTTTTACTTCGATTCTCATCACGTGCAAGTACCATGGAATTTTCCACAAGCCACGTTGGGACTGGTAGTGATTCCCTATTTTCGGTCTATGGACGTCGACGATCGGAGGGTCTTGGAAGACAGGAGTCCTCCTCATGGGGGACCCGGACATCACTCTTGGATTTATGTCCCACGTTTGAGGGGTTCCAACTCCTAAATATCATAGGCATGTTGGAAAGAGGGTACCGTCCCGGAAAAAAAACAAGAAAAAACAACTTGCCACGGACAACCTAACCAAGGGCGGCTAGTTTAGACCGTTTTCCTCCTGGCTATGGGACCTTTGGGTGGGTTCAATATGCATCATGACATTCAGGTCAGTGTCATGTTTTTTGAGAACATCCTTTAGCCGGCGTGTGTGTGTGTGTGCCGTCCTGGATCACGGACGATACAAACCCGGCGGGGGGCCACCGGGGACCAGGGGGGGCGGTGGCCAACGAAGACCCCCCTCTGGTCCCGTGAAAACGTACCCGCTGTTGGTCCCTTTGTTTTTGTGATGTTGGGTCCCCAAAAGTCGCTGTCTGCTTCCTTTGTTGTTGATGCCAAGGGAAGCCAAGGGTTTCTTGCTGTCTTGTCTGCGAGTGAAGCCACTCGAGATAAGTGTGTGGGTGTGTGTGTGTGTGTTAGGGAGCCAAAAGGATAAGCCACTTTGCAGTCCAGCATCCCGAGCTTGTTTAGACTTTGGGCTGTGGAGGACTTGAGGCATTTGCTCTTTCTGGATATGAGCAGCAACAAGCTGAGCGAGCTGCCCCAGCAGGACCCTCAGGCGGAAGAGTGTCACCTGCCTCAGCCTGCCTCAGAAACAGGTTTTGGGGTGTGTTAAGGGTACCCGTTTTGGGCATTGTAGGGAAACCAGTTTGGAAGTTTTCGCCGTTTTTGGACAACAAGCACTCAGTTGGGTCTGTCTGATTTGCTTGGGGCCCTTGCAGAGGATTCCAGAAGTCGTTTTTGGAAAGTATCTTTGGTGGGTGTTTCATGTTAATTTGAGGGGAGATGTTCATTATGTTCCTGTTTGGTCATTTTCTTAAAGCACGCATTCATTGCTTCTACATTCTTTTTTCCTCAGTCCGGGTTGTTGAAGGGATAGACTGAGGGGGGGCAAGAGACTAGGCATTTCCGCCTGTTCTCGCTGAGGCTGCACATGCCGGCGTTGAGGATGTCACCTGCATCCGCTCGAAGCGAGGGATTGATCAGCTCAATCGGGGACCAGATTTTGTGAGCTGGTTGTCAGTTCATGGCAGAGTTGTCCCTTGCACTTGACACTCGGAGCAAAGGGCCCCAAGTGGTTGGACCCTCAATATGCATTTTTAGAAGTATCGCCAGGTTTTGACCGGTACGGGCTACAAAATATGACTTCGATCCCAAACGGGGTGACTGGAGCAAACATTCTTTTGAAAGGGCTGGTCAGAACCGGTCCAACCTTGTCCGTTTGCCCAAAGTCAAGTGCTGGGGGTGATGTCCTTTAAACCTATTAGGGGTTGACCTTAATGAACAAGTCGCGGTTGAGAAGTCGAGCTTTGCCGCAGGAGAGCAGATTTCAGGGACAACGAGATTGTCTCGCTGCTGCCTCAGAAAGTCCGCCAGAGCCGCGCCCAAGACCTATATTGGCCTTTTTTTTTTGTGGATGGTTCTAAGTCTAAGGGGTTTTGCAAGGATTACAGCAAGGCGAATATGAACTTGTAGAACCAAGTAAGTAGAGCCACAAATCAATGGGTGTTGTTTGTTTGTTTAGTTCAGGTTTTGTGTTCTGCTTGCGCTGAATCAAGACCTCAAGACTAGAGTAGAAACTTCTGTGCGCAGTGTGTGACTGGATTCAACTGGGATCGATATATTTCCGCTTGCGTTTTTCAGCTTCTTTCCGGCATTCGTGATGTTTTTTTGTTTTTCTTTTTCTCGGCACTTTGTGAGGGGAATAGAGGAATTCATTCCCAGCGGCTTGAACAGTTTTTCCAGTTTCTCCAGGGAGAAATGAATTCTTCGGGCGAGTTTCACTTCTCCTGATCACTTTGAACTCCCCGAAGCAACCCAAAGCGGAGCCGATTGTCAGGTGCGCCAAGTTCTCCGGGCACGCGAGTCTGCAGACGCTGCGCCTCTCTGGGAATCAGCTCTCCTCCGTCGGGGACCCCATTGGTCGGCCAATGGGCTCCGGGGTTTGTCGCTTCGAAGCCGCAAAATCCGTAAGGCTGAAGGGTCCTTTTTTAGACCCTGGTGGAAACGTGCATATTTCTTGTTCGACATCTCCAGATGGCTTTTAGTCTCAGGTGTCAAATCCAAGTATCGTAAGTGTCAGGACCTAAAACTGCGGATTTGCTCTTGGAGGTGTGCACTCGTCCTGCAAGGGGTCAAAAGGACCACCCTGTTCAATGGCTTCCTGACGAGTTCTGAAAGAACACATCTCCAAAAGGGAAGGGGGTCCTTCATCCCGGAGCTTTTCGAGCCCCAGGCGTCATTCACCTCCTGTCTTTGTTTGAGGGTACCCAGTACCCTTTTTTGGGGTTGGTTTAACAGGGAAACCAGGTTTCCATTTTGACACATACCCATGCATTAGTAATGCACTCTATTACCTGCTTGGCACTTCAAGACAGGTGAGGATTTTCTTTGAAGCGGCTGGGCGCAACGCAAGGATGCTCCGAAAGATTCGAAGGGGGCGAAATCAAGTCGCAGAACTGGGACAGCCCCAACATGACCAGGGGAAGCTTCTGAGATATGGAACTATTGGGCTTTGGCATTTCGGTTTGTCTTGAACGTGCAAAGCCGCAAGAGTGGGGATCACAACGTTATCTCGGACATTTTTTTGTGTGGCTGCACATATATGGTCCCATCCTCCGCCCTCCCCGCCACCCAGTCCCCCTCTGCGCCCTTTGTGTTGGCCGACCCCCTGCACCGCTGTGCTCGCTACGCATTTTTTGGATATGTGCATTCCCTGCCACCTGCTCACGGATTTTTTAATGTGTGCTTATTCTTCTTCTGTCTTTTGTCAGAGAGGCATCTTTCAATCAGTGTCCGTACCAAGGCAGTTGGCGGGCAGGCGGTTCCCCCAAAAATCAATGTTCCAGATGTCCCAAGCCAACCCTAAGCCGACCGCAAACCAACCCTAGACAATGACTAAACCAACCCTAAAACCACCCGTAACCCAAATAACTGACAAAAGGCGGCTGCTTGCGCAGGGGCAGGCCGACACTGATATTTGCACAAACAACTATGTACACCCGTCTTGGTTCACCCTTTGATGTATATGTTCACGGCTGGCAGACATGTGCATACTTTTTCATTCAGAACCATAGCAGCCGGCGTGTTTTTCTTCTTCTTTTTCTTCTTCTTCTTTTTTTCTTCTTTTTCTCCCGCATGACTCATGGGTGTGTGCGTTTTTTTTTTTTTTTTTTTTTTTTTTTTTTTTTTTTTTTTTTTTTTTTTTTTTTTTTTTTTTAAAAAAATAAAAAAAAAAATAAAAAAAAAAAAAAAAATAAAAACATAAAATAAAAATCGAGGGTACGAGTTGTTTGTGAAGTGCGAAACAAAGGGAATACTTTTTTTGACACACGAGCCCCTCAGGTCCAAGGGCTCCAGGCCATGCCTAAGCTCGAGGTGCTGGAGGTGGGTGACTCGGTGTCTTTCTCTCTCTGTGTCTGTCTGTGTCTGTCTCTCTCTGTCTGGCTCTGTCCCTCTCTGTCTCCACCTTTTCTAGAGATTGCAGGAAATCATTTTCCGTTGTGAGACTTCGACAATGGCAAACTCATGAGGACATTGTCTTTTTGTGAGTTGGCCCAGTTTGGTGGCATTCATGGAATGCATGGAAACCAGACGGGGGAACAAGACGAGGATTAGGAGGAAACCCCATCGATTTTGGGATGGACAAACATCACAACGCCAGATGGAAGCCATGAGTGCTCAAAATCTGTGGTGCCCAGGAAGGAACTCGGATTGTTGAGTGGTGAAACTAAAAGGAAGCCAACAGGAAAACCAAAATTCTTTTTGGGGGTCCTTTGATTCAGACAAACTCAACATGTGCGGCATTTCGGTTGCACCTTTGTGGACGAGAATGTGGGTGTCTTCGCCGACTTGCTGCATCAACCCAAATCATGCATCCTCATGGAAGCTGCTGGTTGGCCGAAGGGAGACAGTCCATCATGTTGAAAAGGACATGTCCACTGCCAGGAGGGGCCAAAGTGGCACCCTCAAAATAGCCCTCAGCTTGACTAAATTTGGAATGTCCCTCTGAATGCACGCAGATCTTGTTGGTTCGATGGGTAGGGATCCGTTCGAGGGCTTTTTTGGGAAACGGGAAGGGGATCGCCTGAAAAGAAGCCACAAGGGAGTTTCCAGTCCGGGTTCATTCCCTCCTTCCGTGAGAACCAGCAAGTTTTGGAATTCAGCAGAAGGAACCCATCAAGCCTGTGTCAAGCCTTCGTCTTCGGATCGGAATCTGCTTTGGGTCCCACGCCCCGGTTTCACCGTGCAGACTGCAAGCATTGGTCGATCGTTATGCTCTTTTTGTTTCTATTCTGCCAACAAGGCAACCGGATGGCACGAGATGCATTTTGGCCAGTTTGTTTGTTTCAATCGCTGGGTTTTACCTACCTCGTGTTTGAACCGCCGGTCGCGCGTCATCTCTAAGTTGAGCGGGAATGCCCTCTCGAGCCTGGACGTGACCAAGCCCGGGCCTCTAGCGGACCGGTGAAGGGATCGCTGGGGTGCACCAGAAAGGTACCCGTCTTTCCAGCAATGGAGTTGGACAGGCTTCCAAAGGAAAGTCGTCTCCAAAAGTTTCCAGTCAGCTTCCACGACGCTCCCAAAAAAATCCGCAGGGGGAATCTGCATTGGGACCATTTCCCCAAATAGCCCCTGTGCAGGTTCGGAGGGAAACATCACTCGGTTTGGCCCATGCTAGTTGAAGGCTGGGAAGTTCCGAGCTGTGGGGTGAGGCGCTTTTTTGGTTGGGGGTTCGGCCGAGATGTTGGTCGGGGGTTCGAGGGCTCCAAGGCCGGGCCAAAGCCGGGCCGGACATGGATCGAAGCCCAAGGCCTCGGTTGGCCTTACTCAGGTTCTGGGGCCTTTGGGCTTCCAGAAAACCTTTTGGAAGTGGATGAGGAGGGTACTTGGGTGAAGCTACTAACCCCAGTTCCCCCACTTGCAACTGTTTATAGCAGTTCTTTCGTTGAACATCCAAGTTCCCTGGCGCGAGGTTGCCGGCCTTGGCCAGCCTCGACATCTCCAAGAACAAGTTTGAGACCTTGGCCGGCCCCTGGCAGGAGATGGCGGCTTTGGCGTGTTTGGGGAAGCTGCTCGCAGAGCTTGGGGAGGGGGCTATGTGGCGATGTGTGGGTCTGTGCGGTCTTTTTTTCAGTACCCTTTTAGGCGGTATGGACTGCACCAAAAGTCCAGGCATCTCCTCCGCAAGTAGCACAGAGACGTCTCTGAAGATACCTTTTTGGCTGAGCCGGGAGACCAACCGGAAACCCACAATTTTGCGGGTCCCCCGATCTTGACACATACCCATCCATTCTGAGCGCAAAATCACGTGACATCCTGGAACATATTTATTCACCCAAGCGTTTGTTCCAGGCAGCTCAATCCCCTCTGCCACAAACGCAAATCGTAAGTCGTAAGAGCATCGACAATCCTCAACCGCGGGACTTTTTTGAGTTGCACTTTGGCCACTTTGGATCAAGTAGACCCTGCCTTTTGATTTCTTCTTTTGGACGCCAGGTTTGAGTTCTCCCCAAGCAAAACCACAAGGGGACACCCAGGATGCAAATCTCAAGTGGCACACCCAGAAATCCCAATTGGTATGTTTCTGAACTGCGGGACCCACAGATTTGGTGGTTTCCGGTCGGTTTCTCTTCGGGCTTTCCATTGGTTTTCCTTTTGCTTCCCTTTAGAACGAGGTTGCCGAGCCTCAACAAAAAGACATGGATGTCCCCCGTTTTTGTGTGCTTGTCGTGATTAATTGTTTTTTTGGGGTTCCTCTATTCTCATACAAACCCCCACAAGTGGACATGAGGAACGAAATGCGTTTGGGCAATGTACTCACCAATGTTCCAGGCTTTGCTTGGCGCTGACACGAGTCACCCTTAGCCGAGGCAGCCTTGGCCTCTCTGGACGCATCGGGCAATGCCCTAGCCGAGGCCGGGGTGTGCCCACCAATTTTCAGCTACCAAGTAGGTGTGTGACGATTTTTTGGAGCATGCAATCTTTTGCGCTTTGTGTGTGGGTGTGTTTTGTTCTTTCATTTTTTCCCTGTGGCGTTCTTTGCAGCGTGACCCCCCGCCCCCAAACTGAAACTCTGAAACCATTGGTCCACTGATTCAGAGCAGCAAGGCGGAGCCATGAGAAGTTCATGGCTCTTGGCTCCTTTTTCGGCGAATTGAGTTGCAGTGGCTCCACTTGCTCTGAATCATTCCAGTTGGGTGGAACTGGATGGATGGCCACTCATGGTAAAGCTCATCCCCTTTCCTAACCCACCACCGGAAAGTGCGCCATTTGTACCCGAGAAAGGCTCCGAGAGCTTCTGTGGTCCTCTTACAGAAGCTCCGTAGGGCGTCTCAGAACCCTGGGGAGGTTCACCCCGGTGTACCCCCAAAAAAAAGGGAGTGTTTCCTGGTCTGCAAAGTGAAACCACCACTCCACCTTGTTGAGGAACCCTGTGACCTGGATGGGACTTTCGCGAGGAAGCGCCGCTCGCCGTTCGCCCGGAAGGTGAAAGCTTTGGAGCCGTTGCAGCAGATGGAGGCGCTGAGGAGAGGCTTTCGGAGAGGCTGTGGCGAGGAGCCCCTTTGCAGTCTTTTCCATATGTATATACACATACCTATAATATGTATATATACATATGTATGTATATATATATATATATTCATACAAATGGTTCTATATTTATTGAGGACTGGGTCTGCTCAGGGTCACTTTGTTTCATACTCCCTGACTTGGCTCTTCTGTCCCAAATCTTTGTTCTTTTTCCGTTTTTCTTGGCACAATTCATGTAAGCTCCCGGGTGATTCCCGTCCCAGCTACTTCTACAGGCGCCGAATCGTCCTAGGTTTGAGTTTTCGGAAAAGTGATTTTCCTTCGACCATGTTTAGACTAGCCCGATATCTGCTTTTAGTAGGCAGAAAAGCATTTCCTGCGAGAACACTGGTGATGCTGGGGGTGCCGACAACTTTGATCCACGGACCAGCAACATTTGCTTTTCGGGTCGCAGAAAATAGTACTCTTTACTAAAGCATCGGCAATTAGCCTCATAAAGAAGATTTATGCCGTTGGATGACTTTCAAAACTCGCGTTTGGAGACCTGACAAAATAATCAAAACTGCCGACCGTCGCCTCAAGTTTCCAACTTTCCAGGATTCAGGGTAACGGATTTCAACAAGGATGGTCCACCATTCTGAGAACCCATTCGTGAACAAAACGCAGGTGCACCAGGCCCAACCCGGCACCTGCGTGGTTTCTTTGGAGTTGGCGGCGATTTGGGGCAGGAGCTTTGCCATGGCGGGCTGTCCATTGGAGGAGCAGGCAGGCGGCGGCTTTTGGAGAATATCCACGAGTCGATGTGTAGGTTAGGTATTGCAGCCCCTGTGAGTTAGGTATTTGTATACTATGAATACATCTTTCACATATGGACACCAGTACTATACATATACCATATATATATATATAATGATAATGAACATGTATACAAGTAACATGCACAAATATGCATAGCTTGTTTTGCGCATGGAGGCTTTGATCACTTGGTTTGGCTTCCCTCGACAGAAGATTTGTGAGAGGCTCCACAGGGGTTTCTTAATCCGCATTTCAATCCTTGCAGCAGCTCTTTGATGTGACATCCTGTTCAATGTGTGGCAGTCAGAGAGGGCGGCATCATTGAACCCAAGATTAAACACCAGAGTGGGGCGAATTGCGTTTAAACATTCAGCTCCTGGTATTTAAAAGGGAAGCCAACAAGGAGGTGGTTCAAACAATTCGGCGCGTCCTTCGCAACCGAGGGGGACCTACATGTCGGCCCACTGCTTGGTTGTCGCCGCGTTGTTATATCCCCGAATTTCCACCCTGGTAAACGGTACACACATATCACCCCTTGTTCTGACAGTTTTCCTTTTGGTGGCTTGATTTTGCACCCCGTAAAAGGAACACCTTCTGTGGCAAATCTCCAGGTCGATTTCTTTTTTCACGGGCTTCTATCAGCAAATGATAGAGTATAAATGAGCAAGTCGATAGATTTTGGGCGCCTCGCCGTGGCTTTTGTGAAGATGTACTCCGCCCAGATTAATATGGAACCCCCAAAGGGGGTGCAAATCCCAAAAGAAGGATGGCCTTCTGGGTTCCATGTTGATCAGGAGAGTGAAGGTAGACGGCAGAGTTCCCTCATTTTGGTTTCATGTGAATTCTTACTCATGTCCGAGAAACCATCATCCCGCATATATTGTGCATGGGTAAGGGGTATGCGTTCCATTGGCCAGATGAAACAAGAACCCAACAAACCTTCACTGGAGAAGCCTCCTGTCGGGTTTCAAGTCTTGGGGTTGCTTCTGAATTTGCAGCGGCAAAGCGGGACACCGCTGGGTTGGTGGATAATTTTCAAGATCTTGGGGCCGGGAATCAACTGGTTTGCCGTATCACAGACTTTGGGTCATTTTCCACCACGTTCTAACCCTCGGCATTGTTCTCTCTTTTTTGCCTCGGACATTCACTACTCCAGGGCATCACAGAAGGATTGGCATATGCACCATCTTGATAGTCTCGCCTTCAGTTCGTTGGCCACGCGCCGAATGGCAACTGAGGGTTTTTGGGGCCCACAACTGAAAGGGTTTTGGAGGACACGTCAAGTAGCAACTGAGGATCTTGGGGGCTTTAAGGGTAAGCCAACAGGAAACCAAACGGGAGGACCTGTTTGGGAGGGGGGTTTTGTAAATAAGCGAAACTTATTCTTCCACGGCCAGGAGGGCTTGAACCTGCGCTTGGAGATCCTCATCTTCCGGACGCTGCAGATGATCAACGGGGAGGAGGCGGGGGATTGGATTGGGGGGGATTTTTTCCTTATTGAACAGGTTGCGAGCTGCTGTTTGATCCATTTGAGGTGGGTTTCCCTAGGGTGATGCAAGGCAAACCTAGGGAATCTGTGCCCCCCAAACACACCGCCTCCAGTTTTGAGCAATCTTACTGCGTGAGAATCGGTTGCTCTAGTGGGATGGGAATCGAGCATTCAACGAAGCCCGTCAGCCTTGCACTATTTCCTGGCTTGGACCCAAGACCTCATGCCTGCAGCTTGAGGTGAGAAGCCCCTGTTGTTTTTATGGCTGGTCAGGAAGAGCGGGGAAATGTCCTCAGCAAGCCTTGCGGGTCATATAAACAAAGGGCGTGTATAAAACACCCCTTCAGATACATCAGAAAGGTCGGTGGGGGGTTCGTACCTTCGTCCGCTATCAAGAGAGGGGGTGGGTGAGGGAGTGAGGGAGTGGTGCGGGGCGAAGGGGTGAAGGGGTGAGGGGTTGAGGCTTTGCACGGCTAGTCAGATATCCTCCTACACTCATTGGAATTGCACACATCATTTGTTGATTGCTCTTGGCATGTTTCTACGCTTTTTCGTTTAGTTCTGATCTTTGTTAGTGTCCGTCTGCAAACGACTTGCTTGCCAAGGATTAAGAAGCTTCGTTTAGACAGTTTGATGTGACTTTCTGTGCCGTGTTCCTAAGTGCTTTGGATCGGTTTGGGGATTTGAGCCCAAAGCCATTGAGGCTGAGAAGGGTTGCCCTGGAACACCTCCAGTCCGCAAGTCCAAGCCACCCCATCTTTCTGCTTAGTCGGGGCGCAGCCTCAGACATGGCTTGATAAACATACATGCCAATGTGCATGATGTGCACCAAAAGGTTCAGTCAATCAGGGGTCGCACTCCCAGACAAGGAAACAAGCATGAATCTTTCTTCTGAAGAAACAAATCCCGTAAATGGCTGGATTTCGGATCTGGAAAGTGGGACCTGTCCAATTCCTAGGTGCGGGTCCTCCAAGAAAATGGCGGCGGATTTCGCCGGTATAGCGCTCAGGTGCCGCCGGAGGAGAGGGATGAGGCTCAGGCGCTGCACGAAAAGCGGCTCGAGGAGGAGGCGGGGCGGCTGCTTTGGGCGGTTCCTTTGGGCGGGTCCGGGCGCTTCCTTCCAGGTCGAGGGGGTGTCGGAGGGTGGGAACAGTGGGGACCCCAAACTGGATTTCGCTTTTTTTCTTGGTTTTTTGAACAAAGGTGCAAAGGGCTCAACCAAGAACACTCACCCTCTCCAGGCGCAGTCCAAGGGAGCCATTTAAATAGGACAGGTGTAGGCTTACTCCCTCAACTTTGTACATGTTATATATATATATGTATACACATGATATACAAAGCATATATGATGTAGTATGTATTTGGGGAAAAGAAAGGGCGAGAGGGAGACGGAGGGAGGGAAGGAGGGAAGGAGGCAAGGAGGGACAGACGGAGGGAGGTAAGGAGGGGCAGGAGGGAGAGGGAGAGAGAGAGAGAGATCAAGCCGCATATGCGAATGCATGTGTATGCACAAAAATGGTAGGCCCACCCCTTGAGTCAAAGATGTGTGTATATATATATATATATATAATTGTTGCCCCCCCCAAATGTCGACCTTTTCGTTTGTCTTGATGAGTGATGCCCACTACATCTGACTCACCAACTCACCCGTTTGAACCGTTTAACCCGTTTGAACCCTTTCTCAAAGGAAAGGTTTGGGCCCAAAACGGTTTGAACTGGTTTAAACCGTTTAAGCCCTTTCTCAGAGAAAAGGTCTGGGCCCAAAACCGTTTAAGCCATTTAAATCGTTAAAGCCGCTTAAACCCTCTCTCAGAGGAAAGGTTTGGGCCCAAAACCGTTTAAACCGTTTAAACCGTTTGAACCGATAGAACCCTCTCTGAGGTGGAACTCTCCGGGGGGGGGGGGGGTTCATTTGAGAGAGGGTTTAAACGGTTTAAACGGTTTAACCGGTTTAAACGGTTTTGGTCAGAACCGTGGAAGGGGGGGGGGGGCTTTACCTGAGAAAGGGTAAAAACGGTTTAAACGGTTTAAACGGTTTAAACGGTTTTGGGGCCCTGGCCCTTGGGGGGTAGGGGGTGGGGGGACCTTTCCTCTGAGAAAGGGCTGAAACGGTTTCAACGGTTTAAGCGGTTGTAGGGGGGGGGGGTCTTTCCTCTGAGAAAGGCTTTAACCGGATTGGGGCCCCCTTTGGGGGGGGGGGGGGGACATCCTCTCAGAAAGGGTTTAAATGGTTTAAACGGTTTGGGGCCCTGACTCTCTTCTTTGCTGTTGTTTTTGGCATCTTCTGCCCAAACCTCAGCTTAAAAATGGGACAGAGGTAGATCCTGGATTCAACCTGAAGCTTGCCGATTGTCTTTTGACTTGTGCTCTGTTTTTGCTGCTTTCCCAAATCCCCCCCCCCCCCCAAAGCCGAAAACACTGCAATACCTAGTGAAAAGCAATTTAAGCAGGATCTCCTTTTCAAAGGCTATTTTTGATTGGGTTGTGTATGTCAAGTTAGACTTCAAAGGCGGTCTCCTTTCCTTCTTTTGAACTTAATAAGGACATACTCCCAGTGCGATGGTCCAGTTTGAAGAGAATCTGCTTGGGGCTTTCCTGTTCAATGAAGATGTGTAATATATTCAATGAACGCCCTTCTTTAAGACAAGCCTATCTATATTATCGTTAAAACCAGACACTCTACTAGAATTATGTCATTGTTAGATTATACTTAAATCATGATCAAAGAATAAAATTGGACATATTTAAAAGTAGTATTTTGTTTTCTTCAATTTAGATTCTAAAGGGGGTCTCTTTTTCTAGGATCGTGTATTCAATTCTCTATAACATTTAAGTGGAGTAAGGTCAGGAAATAATAATAGTACGATTGCTAGTTTAAAGAGAATCTAAACAGGTGCCCTTTTCAAAGTCGAATTTGAAATTTGAATTTGAATCATGTTCTATTTGTATTGTTTAATCAGACATGAAATAGAATTTAACAAGGACCTATTTCTAGTGGAGTGACTAGTTTTAACGATAATTTAAGTAGGCGTTTGTTAAAATAAAATTCTTAGTTGGAGTTCTTATTTCAAATCCGACTTCGAAGCGGGTCTCGTTTTCTAGGATTCAGATGTCCAATGAATTTAGTCAGACATTAACAGTGAAACATCCTAATATAATGTCTAGTCTTAAAGATGATGTAAGTAGGATTTCCTGGTGGAAGAATATGTTTAACTGTAACGCTTAGTTCAAAATAGGTTTCAAAGAGGACGTCCTTTCACAGGATGCTTTTCCCAGTTTCTAAATAGAATCTGAACAGATTTAAATACGACACCTTCTTTTGCTGCTTTGCGCAAAGCACACAAAAGGCATCCAACCACAGCAAATACCATTGAAGCCAACATTTTTTCTTTTGTATGGTCACCACCCCATTGCCTTGCTCTTTCCTGGTCCGATTGCACCTCGTGGCCCAGGCGGAGAGGCTCCGCCAGGAGGAAGAGGCACCCGACGCCTTCAAAAGGGAAACAAACGAAGCATGACACCTAAGCAGCACGTATGGAGGGTTTCATCATTGGGGGTTGACAAGCATATCACTTGTGGAATGCGTTAAACCGTTAAACCACAAATTCCTGAAAAGTGAAAAGGCGGTTCGCCTCCAGAATGAGCCCACCACACACACATTCATGCCCTTTGATACATCTTGATCATTCAACATGTCCCACCAGAACGGTCCCATGATGGAGCCCATGGAGCCCGTGAGGCGCTACTTGGCCCTGTTGGGATTCGGGCTATGACCCCAGACTTTCAGGACACCCGTTCCCAACCCAACCAAAATTCGCATCCTTTGGCGGCTGGCCCATCTTCCATTGGTTGTTGTTTTTGGCAAAAGGTTGGAACAAGTGGAACATGGTTTGACAAAAATGGGATCAGGAGGGATCCCACAGAGAGGTCTTGCTGGTTGTTGATGGCTTCTATTTTGGGTTCCAAATGGTGTTCTGAAAGTCCAAGGGGCTTCTACTCTGGTGGCGCTTCCTCTTGGCTTTCATTTGCAATCCATCTGATTCTAGGAAACACCCAACTGGCCAACGCTACACCACGCTGAAGTCAGAGCCAGCCGTTGGCTTTTCCTTTTCCCAAATTCTGACATTGAATTAGGGACATTGTTGATCAACGAGGTGCTCACAACCCACAGAGAAGGAACCACTCGCAAAATGGGATAATTCATCCTGGGTTCCCACTAACAAACCTGTACACTACCCCCCCGTATTGGACCCCCCCAAACAACGGAAAGGGTCTAATATGCTGAATTCATCGGGCTTTTGCCAAGATGGTTGTCATCCCGCATTCCAAAACGGTCGGCATCCGGTCAAGGCAAGCTTCTCAACTTACCCGACTGGAAGGCTTTTGCGGACTTGCGAAGATCAGTGTTTTGGCGTGGGTCAGACGGACCAGCCCAAAAAGTCAATAGAGGACAGGGCTACCTGGATGGCTGTAAATTTTAATATGGAGCCTCCTCAAAGTTTGGTTGGCATGCATCTTCACCGAAGTCTGATGTCTGCAAAAAATGAAATTGACCCATATCTCCTCTTTTCGTTGCGTTTTGTCATCACTTGCGGCCAGATGCGGTGAAGATCCTCCTCTCCAGGGTCAAACATCACGGCCAACTTCAAGTGGGCTTGTCCAGAGATTTGGTCAAACAATCCGGTCATTTGTGATCCATTTGGGAGGACTTACTGTACTGAGTTCCCCAAAAATGCAGGGGCTCGCTCTATTCTTTTTATTCTGTTGCTCATATGAGCAGCGCCCAAAACTTTATTGGCCAGTCGTAGCAAGGCGTGTATACACCTTTGTAACCGTGTTAGTAGAACCAAAGTCAATGGTCTTTTGGCGCTACTCAATCGGGTTGCCCCCCAAAAAGGGTGCCTTTGGTGGTCCTTGAAGGTGTATCCGAAATGAGAAAGGTGTATCCGATATCCTTTCAGGTGCATCAGCAAAAAAAGCCGGTCTTTGCCGCCACGATTCTCCGAAACTCTATGGGTCTGTCTCAAAATAGGGGAAGCTCTACAACTCTACAATGTGTGTAGGTCAATATTAAATCACCAGGCTATGGACCGCAGGTTTTAGTGCATTCCATTTCCCAGGGCAAGCCATTTTGGGGTTGCCAAACTATTTTTGACCCACAGCCAAACGGCGGTCCTTCCAGCTTCCCTTTAGCAACACGGGTGCCAGATGTGACCTTTTGCTTCTCGCAGGCCCGTCTGGCGGCGGAGGAGGCGGCGAAGGAAGGCTCGGCCAACCTTCGAAAGCCCCGGCCTGGTGAACGGGGTGGTTTCTTTTGGGGGGCTTCTCAGCATGGAAATTTTTGTTTTTGCTTGTTGGGGAAGCAAACAAGAAGCACACCTTTCTTTTTTTGGGCCCTGATTTGAGAATGCCCCTCGTATGTCCCTCGTTTGGTGGGTTTAAATATCACCTTGCGGGCCTTTGTAAGGTGACTCATTGACTGCAGGCCTTTGTAAGGCGAGTTTCCCCTTGGCAGGGGTGCCGTTTAGGGGGAAATATAGGGAAGCCTTTGAAAACGGACCCCAAATGGAGGGAGTTTTGACAGGCCTTTGTTTGCCATGGCGATTCTTTTCGGATTTCGGGGTTTCTCGAAAGGGGGACCCTTTTCCTTTTCACTTTTTGATAGCAACACCACAAGGGTGTGAAGTTGAGTTAGGGACCCTTTGGTGCACATCGTTTTGGAGGGGATTCATGGCCACCAAAGACTTTTTCGGTGGTTCCGACTCGTAGGGGCCTATTTTGACAAACACCGGTCCAACAACCTGGTCCAACATGAGAATCATTTATTTGTGAAGAATTCCAAGCGTCGGGTAACCCTTGCGCAGTTGGTCAGTTGGTGGCTTGGATCGGGGGTTTGAACCTTTCCTTTTGAAGCCAAGATGGGGACCACCTAATGCTCAAATCACCAAACCGGAAGCTGAAAGAGGGGTATTTCCCAGGGAGTGCAAGGGTGCAAAACAAGAATGTAAAGATTCTTGCCGTGAGATGTTGATAAGAGAAAGCCAACACTTAGCTTTTCCAGCTTCACGTCCTGCAGCCGTTCCAGGGCATCTTCTTTGCAGAAGATGACAAACAAGAAGTTGGCGGTTTCTCAAGAAATTGGTGGGTCAAAAGAATCGACAGCTTGGCTTACAGTTCGCCATGGTTTCAGCCTGCAACAGGCGAAGCTTTCAGCTTGGGAGCATGGGCTGAGCTAAGCTATGGCTGAGATTGAGCCCGAGAAACCCGATTCCTATTGGCAATGTTAGGGATGGCTCGGTTCTGCCTAGTCTCATAGTGGTTATTTCAACTGTGCAACCATATCGATGGATTGGCAGAACCAAAAGTCAACTGCTGAAACCGGCGCCGCTCGGTTGCACACCAGGCCATGAGTGGTTTGATGGAGAACTCGTGAATTGTTTGGAGAAACCAGGAACAAGAAAGGCTGGACTAGGCTCCCAACAACCAAGCATGCGGAGCGTATCCTAAAATTTCGGCCCGCCTTGTGGATGGTGTTCTGCAAGAAAAGCCCAAATAGAACCCCCCTTGCCCAGTTTTAGATGCCCCTCAGGCATCCATCTTGTTCAAACGACACATAGCAAGGACTTTCAAGGAGCTTGTTTTCAGCTTCGGGGTCCCTCCCTGGTTTGGACATACCCATCCTGGTAGTTCCAAGCCACACCCCCAGACTTCTCGACTCTTACCGATACTCTGTTCCTGGAACTTGAGGGGGAGCAACGAAGCAAGCCATGGATTCCACCAGCGCAACCGGATCCTCTCCTTCCGCGTTCGCAATGGCTTGACGCGCGAACGCCTTGGCATCATGGCGGCTTGGGCGCCCGGTGAAACGGATGGCCGGGGGGAAGTAGATGTGAGCGTCCAAGACGCTTATTGCCTGGGAAAGCCTATAGAAAAACCATCATGACCTTCGCAACTATACTCGTAGAACCAAGATTCTGTTCCAAAAAGTGGGAATTTCCTTTTGGGTCGTGTTGGAAAGGAGACCAAAGGAATCCAACCACGCTTAGAGGTCACCCATTCTTGGACACACCCACTTGGACAGGTAGGCTTTGAGCCTTTGCGAGTCAAGCACCCCATAGATCATGCGCACGCACACATACCCCTGTCTATCTCTAACATATGTATATATATATAGATACATATTTGTATATACATGTTCGTATAGACATGTGCATGTTTATAGTTCCAGTCACGCAACAGGGATGCAGGATGGATGACACCCCTTGGAGCCAACATGTGTGAGAGCTGTCTTGCAGAGTTTACTTAAGTTTACTTTGTGTCGCCTTGATGCCTTTTCGACTCAAGTGTCCTGGAAAGTTTGCTTTAGGGAACCCTTGGGGAGGCTAGTTCAACGGTCAAAAAAGGACAACGCCCCATAATCCTCAGAGGCTTTTCAAGCGAAACGGCGGTGGGGTTGGGCGTTTACAACCCCAAGAATCCACAGTTTGTGAAACAAAACGTGACGAGCAGGAAAAACAAAGACAAAGAAAACAGACAAGCGGACACCACACTGGCTTTCTGCTTTCTCAGCGGGGGGCCCAGGTAGGTTTCTGGCATTGAAAGTTATTCACTGGGGATTCCCTCATTTCCAGTTTGAGAATTCTACTTGGATGCTCAGCCAACTCAGTAAGTCCGTCATAATCATGGTTATGACTGGGGTTTGTCCCGTGGTCACCATGGCTATGACCTACGTTTTGGAATTCTTCATGCTCAGCCAACCGAGTAAGTAGGTCCTGCCATGCTGTCAGGGGCGCGCCTGGGTTCCGAGGTGGACCTGGAGGGGTACCAGCGGGCTTGGCGCCTGCGGCACTCTGCCGATGATGGGCTGATGCGCCAGGCCATTCGAGTCTGCCAGGAGGGGGGCTGGACCATACAAATTCTTATTTCTACACATGTATTCTCATTGTATACATACACAGTATATATATATATATATATATACATATATATATATATATATATGTGTGTTTGAGGTTGCCCTTTGTAGGTGGTTTTCTTGGGACCAGCCATTTGGACACAAACTCATGTCTACGGTCCAATTGGAGTTCGGGACATGGGCGACGAAAACTAAATTTGCGGTCAAAAAGCAAGGGGGCTTTCTAATCAAATCACATTTTGAACATGGCACACCTGGCAGTTCTGCATCCAGAGATTGCATCAAGTTTTTTTCTCACTAGAGAGGGGACATGGTCCCTGCTCAAGTACAACTACCAATGTCCAATTTTGGTCGAGCAGTCAGAACAAAGTAAGCCAACCTGGCTGTTAACGCCAAAAGAAGGTGTTTGGTGTTCAGAAGTCCCATGGTCACGGTTTCCTCCATTTCCCTTTTTGCGAACCTCCCCCCAAAGCGATCCTTTCAATGGGGTTTCCACCCAAAAATTGCCCAACTTTGCGGGACTTTCAGTGACCCCTTTTCCTGGAAGGCCTTTTTAAGGAGGCAGTTGACGCAGCTTTCTAGGGGTTGATTCCCCATTCTTTTCAGCCATCGTTCTTTCCAAACATCAGCCATTTCTCCAGGGTTTTTGGTGGTTTTCTAGAAAGATTCGGATCCCTGGAAAGAATGGAAATGGAAGTTACCCCTAGCTTGGCGTTTCTTCACCAGGTCCCAGCAACCTCTCGTCCCCCGGGAGACGCAAGTCGCGTTGAGGTCTTCGGCGAGGAGCTCGCGGAGATGCAGAAGTCTTGGCCTCGGATCTCCACCTCGGTCCCAGATGCACAGTTTTTTTCTTCTTCTTCTTCACTTAGTGTCTAAGCTCGGATGAATAGACCGTGGTTGATTTTTTTTGGGGGTGTCCCCTTTTAGTGGGGATTCATCGCTTTTGGAGGGAACCGCCCCCTAACAATGGGACGGGTTTATTAATCCTGGGTCAACATTAGTGTCTAACCCGGCGCTTCCATTTTAAGGGGAAGCCATGATGTAGAACCTAGAGGCAAAGCTACCTGACCCACCACTGGGAATTTGAAGTGGTTTTATCCGGTAGTTAGATAGCTTGCGGAACTTGGTTGAATTGGATTATGAATTGGAAGCTTAGTGAGGAACTTTGAGCAAGAGTGATCGAAGCATGTTTCACCAGGTTGGCCCAGCCCTGCCCACGAGATAGTTTGGTTTAGTTGAGAGCCTATGATTGGCCTCCAATCATGGAAGCAGACGCGGGGTTGGACTACTGCTTTTCTTTCGTGGGGAAACCGCAAGACAACTTTCTTTGGAAGCAGAAGCCCCTTGTCCACCCCCATGCTTGTTGCCCCCCGCCGAGCACTGAAAGTAGTCTGATTGACGTGGAACCCAATAAATCAACCATTACAGGACGGTCTCACGAAATTTGGCCGGGCTGGGCACACTTGCCAAGCCTGAAGAAATCACCAACTAGTTGTTGGAGCTCGACTTCTCTTAGACATCACTGACATCACTTTGAAAACTGATGTGTCCCAACAAAAGGGTGCCTCCGCTTGAGCTTTGTTTCTTGATTGAATGTATATTTTCTTGGAAGATGGATTGCCTCCAGATTTGCTGCCTTAGTCGCTCTTTAGTCGTGCCGTTGCGTTGACTGAGTGTCTCAACGTGTCCTGGGACCCGTTTGACGATCTAGTAAAGAGGTTCAAACATGCACCTTACAGGATGATCATGCGTTTTTCTCATTCGAAAGAAACTCCTTTGTTTGAACCCAGTGTTTTGGGTCACCCAAAAGGGGCTTCATCTTGAGGTGTTCTCAAAAATACTTTGGGGGTGGTTTCCATGAGGGCACTGTAACGGACCCAGGTCAAGTGAAGTTGACCAAGGTGTTGGTCGAGTCACTGTGGAGATCATGCAGGGTATTCTTGTCTTTGGGTCGACGTGTTGTGTGTTGTTTCTCAAAGCCCGCAGGAACTGGTTCTCGGGAGGCTTCTCTTGGTCCGACCCTTCAGTCTGCAAGGATTCCCAGAAAGATTCTTTTCGCAACTGGCATGGGCCGACCTGTTTTTGGCTTCCTCGTGCTTCTTGTTAGGGGTGAGCAGAACGCACAAATTGTCCAAGTTTCCTTTGCGGGCACTTTTGTTCCCACCTTCATCGGCTTTGTTTCTTGTAGCAAACTGCATCTACTCTAGCCTGGATCCCAAGCGCCCTCGCCGCGCCACAGACTACCGCCAGGAACCAACCGGCGCTGCTGGATGTCGCCAGAACATACTTTCCTCACCTCACCTCTTCAACGTGCCTCGGCCGAGGAGATACTAGCGGTTCCGGCTGCGTTTTTGCCCCAGGGTCACTTGGCTGAGCTGAACCTTGGCTGGTTTGGATTGGTGGTTTAGATTTGAGCCTTGGGTAGAGGAAAACTGGGAAGGTACCCCCGCAACACCTTCGAACCACTTCTGTTTTTGGCGGGAGGCTGATTAGGCCGCAGGCCTGGAGGCGCCTGAATTTCGGCCAGCCCTGCGCGGGTTCGCAGGGTTCATGTCCAAAGTCCACCGTGGAAATCATGTCCAAGTCGACGTCCAACAGGGTGTCCAAAGGGAACCTAATCGGACTTCACCTATGTTGGTGGTCGTCAAAGTGTTTGTTTTTGGACCCGCCAGAACAGATTTTTCGGTTTTCCTTGTGACTTTCCTTGAAGCCAACCGGAAAAGGGGTGAGGGCCAAGCAGTCGACGGCTTCCGAAGTCGTAGGTACGAGGCGCTGGCACGCGAGCCGGACAACTTGCGTGTGGAGAAGGAGGGATTCGGCTCGGCTCGGATCCCGAACAGGGCGGTGTCGTGTCCGGTGCCCGTTTTGTTGTTGTTGCGCGGAACCCTTTCTTAGGTTTGTTCGAAGGGAGCCCAAAGGAGTGTGCGTTTGTGTGTGTGTGTGTGTGTGTGTGTGTGTGTGTGTGTGTGTGTGTGTGTGTGTGTTTGTTTGTTTGTTTGTTTGTTTGTTTGTTTGTTTGTTTGTTTGTTCGTTCGTTCGTTCGTTCGTTCGTTCGTTCGTTTGTTTGTTCGTTCGTTTGTTTGTTTGTTTGTTTGTTTGTTTTGAAGGAACTTCACACAAGGAAACGCCACCATTCTTGGGCCCAATGGGACGCATACCCATATTTCCTCATCTTGGATGTTTTAAGCATACATTTTTGGCGGCCACCAGTTCTGAAAGTGAGTTCACTCTTTGTTGGGGGGATGTTTAACTATGGGTCTAGATTCTGGGCTCCAGTTTTGTGGCTCGGACATGCAAGCCATAATAGGCTTCAGGAAAACATGGAAATGCATGTGAAACCATAGGCAACCGTACGAATCGACAGGAAACCATGGGAATCCGTGTGACACCATAAGAAAGTTTGAGAACACATGAGAATCCATGTAAACCATAGGACCCATGTCAGACCATAGCAAACTTTAGGAACAGAAAGGAATCCATGTAACACCATAGGAAACTTTAAGAACATACAGGAATCCATTTGAAGCCACAGGAGGCTTTAGGAAAACATGGGAATCCATGTGAAACCATAGGAGGCTGTAAGAAACCATGTGAATCCAGGACATGCATGTGAAACTATAGGCAAGTTTGGAAACGATCGGAATCCTTGTGAAACCATAGGAAGCTTTAGCCTGAGAACCATAAGAAACCTTAGGGAAATACTGGGAATCCAGGTGAAACCATAGGACACCTCAGAACTTTAGGAAAAACCATTGGATTCGAAATGTGAAACGAGAGGAAGCTTCAGAAGAAACCAAAGAACACCATCCGAAATTCATTGGACACCATGCGACACTTTAGGCCCCCAGGTCAAGCCGCCCGAGTTCGTGCCGGCGCCAGCGCGGCAGCGCGGCGCCAGGACCGCTGCGAGCGGGAGATGGAGCAGCTGGCGGTGCAGAACTACAGCGCCTTCATCGGCAGCGCCGAGGTGATGCAGGGGGTGAAGCAGGACACGGCCCAGAGATTCTTGGCCCGTGCACGTGTTTTTTCTTCCTCTCTTTTTTTTTCCTCCTTTTTTTTTTCTTCTTATCTTATCTTTGGGGCTGGTTCTTGAGTGGAAGTCCAAAGGAACGCCTGCATTTTCTGGGGGTACCGAATTGTGACTGCCGATTTAATTCCAGTCTTTTCCGAAATCACCAATATGGCTCGGCGCACAGACCTCGTTTGGAAGACTTCTTGCTGGTTCTCAGGGAATGAGTTGGAATGACCCGAATCGAATTGAAATTTATTCCCTTGAAATTCCCTGCTGTACAGCAAATCAAAGAAGCGGTGCAAAATTACATGTGGCAAGTAAGTCCAGTTTAGGCCTTTTGAACCAGAAACAATCAACGCCTATGAAGAAAATTGTTTGGGTATGGAAGGAGTGCAGCATTCGAATCCCATTTCAGCACCATTGGGAACACGGCAGTGTCTCACTGGGTTGCCTTCCAACCATTCTGAACCCACGGATCCATTTTTGTCCAGACCATCCAAAACCCGCAAAAACCACGAGTTTTTGCAAATAATGATGCTTGAGAAGGTAGGTTAGAGGGGCCGCAAGCAAGGCACCTTGTTTTGGTGGGTTGTTCTTGAGCTCGAAAAGGGCACCATGTGCGGGACCCGTTGGCTTTGAGCAAGGGGAACAACAGATACCCTCCCAATGGCAGCTGACAGGTGTGAGAAGACTTTCCTTCTTCAACAGCTCCCAGTCCATACAATTTCACCTTGCGGATTCATAGGTGCAACTCTCTCTAAAGTGATCCGGATTCCCTGAATAAAGCACTCTACCCATTGATCGACCTGGGTTTAACTCCAATCAATCAACCACACCATCTATCAACGAAGACGACATGTTTTCGTCAATCCACCAAGGTTCTTTGGAGCGAGGGGAAACAAGCATATTGCAGGGTCGTCTTTTTTGAGATGGGGTCCTGCCCACATGATTGGAATGGTTCATTCCAGTGGATTTCTTCCGCCTGCGAGCGCTCGAGCCGCCAATCGATTCGCCAGGAGCTCTCCAGCATTCAGACGCACCTCAAGGAGTCATAGCCTCAGTGCCAGGGCCAGCCGCATCTCGGGGTTGACGTGAGAAGCGGAAGGGAAACCCAAGAGAAGCCCAAAGGGAACCTGGTGCAAACCTAAGCATACCCTTTTCAAAGGGGAACACCTGAGAGCTTTCTCCATGGATTAGTTTTTAAAGGGACACCGAATCGCTTGTGGGTATTGAGAACCGTGTTATTTTGAAAAGGGAAACCTAAGGGATGCTGTTCATTTCGGGGGTTCATGTCCTATGGAGACATGTGTTTCCTAAAGTAGAGGCACCCCTTCCCAGAATGAGGTTCGGTCAAACTGTCCCATAGTCTATGGTCCATGTGGGAGGAAGTTGCAAGTTTGCTCACAGGAGTCATGTCGAAATGCACATGGATTCATGTCCACGTTGAAGCATCACCTTGAACAGAAAAACTCCCTAACACACATGCCGCCTTTTAGGTTGGAAACACAGCTGGGGAGGGGGCGATGCTGGACACTCCAGTGGTTTAGCCAAGGACGCTTTCTAGATCAACAGTCCCTTAAAGCGACACCGGGGCCTTTTGTCAGCAAACAAACAGTCAAACAACAACGTTTCGTACCTCCATTTGGACACATACATACCTATTTGCGTGTTTCCTTGGTCTCAAAACGTGCTTACGATGCCATCTCGGGCTTGCTTGCTCATCTCTGAGCATCTCCTGTTTGGAAGACATGTCAACAAGGCTTCTGCATACGTTCCATGGGAAGGGGCCACAGAGTTTGGGTGGGTGGCCAATCTGCAGCCCTGAAAGTGGCTACAGGGTTCCTATACATCCCGAAAGAAGCACACACGCACAAATGGCTCGCATGATTCTGTCATCTTTGGTTGGCTGCTGCTTTCTCATTCCTCCCGGGATCTCGGGCCAAGATGTGGTAAATTAAAAAATGCCTATAGGAATTTGGACGTTTTGCAGGGGACCAGAATGTGTTGCTCAAGCTACTGGGCAGGTTATCGCCATGGTCAGGGCACTAACCCCAGTTATTTTAGACAGAGCCTTTGGTTCTATCTTACCTACTGAGTTGGTCGAAGAAGACATAGGTGGGGAGCTTTAGGCTTGGTACCCTTTGCGGGGTTGGTTTAAAGGGACACCAGCGGGACACCACCGAATTTTGGGGTTCCCTATTTTGAGACAAACCCAACTTGGTGCTGCTTTCCGCCCTGCGATTTTTTCTGCAGTGCTCGGCAATGTGTTTGTCGGATTGATCCAGAGCAACTCAATCAGAGGAATCCCCCTGATAATGATTCAATCTCACTCGCCCAAAGCGAATTGACCTGTTGACCTTTTAGTTCCCCTTTTTGGCCCGTTCTTAGTCATGGCCCAAGGTGGATCCAAACTAACTGAGAATTCCCCTGACTGGAGGCACCCCTGAAAGTCGGGCGGAGATCCCCTCAGTTTCCAGGATGGCCGAAATCCTGGAGCCGACCCAGGACCTTCAAAGCTGGTCGCGCGCGGGGCTAGATTTTGGCAGTACATGGCGCAAGTCCCGCATGGTTTAGTCATCCCCTTTACCCACAGGGAATTGTGGCATCTACCTCAGCCAGCTGTGGTGGACGAGATCCAATGCCTGGATGGTTTGTGTTTCACTCCCATGAAGGCAAAACAGAAGGACGGAGAATATCCTGCTTTGCTTGAAATGTGCGGAATGAACAGGTGCGTTCTGAAGGACCTCTTGCGTTGATTGGTTTCAACATGCTCTGAATATTATAGGAAGCTCACAAAAAGACTGTGGGGTCCACGCCACTTTTTGAACCAGTTCTGCCTTTTGTTCACATTGCATCCTCCAGTCAATCCTCCTCCTCCTCCTCCTCCTCATCATCATCATCATCATCGTCATCATCATCGTCATCATCATCATGCAATTAGGTACCAGAGCTCGAGTGGAGACTGTCAAGCAATTTCCGGGGTGCCCTAACCCAAAAGGTCCCAGAAAACGAGCGAACAAATGCGGAGCAATTGTCCTCGTCGACTCGGGCGTCCCATGTTTGGTCGAAGGAGCTTGTTGCTTTTTGGCGGACCCCATGTCCTGCAGGGTGGCAGCTTTAGTTCAGATGCTGAAGGTCGTTTCATTCGGCCACTCTTGGAGAGGAAGCACGTGGCAGCACGTCACACATGCAAAATATATAAGCACGCCACGCAACATGAAGCAACAAACCAGCAACAATATACAGATCAACACGCAACATGAAACAACGAGACGGAGCAGCACGATACACACAATACACAAGAGAGGTGCAAGATGAAACACCAAACCAGAGAACCGACGATACATCCACACGCAACATGACCGTCGCAAAGCAGTGCGAAGCTGCTTCCAGGACACCATCTCGGAGCTTCAGGAGAAAGCTGCAGGCGTTCCCCCTCCCCCAGCCCGCCCCAGTCAAAGAATTCTTTTGGGTGGTTGTCCAAAAGTCCAGGATTCCTAAGTGGGGATTCGCCCCCCTGTTGAGCAACCAGGGGTTTATTTAAGGGCTGCCGCCCAGTGCCGCCGACCCCGGGATTTAGTTGTGGTTTTCGAGCAACCAAAAACAGTGCCCTTGGTTTTGGTTTCTTTGGTTTCTTTTTGACCCAAATGGCATCTGAGGCGAGGTGCCGTTTCGACAGTGATGGGATGCTACGATGATAGTGATCATAAGAGTCATCATCCTCATCATCTTCATGATGATTGTCATCATAGTCATCGCCTTCATCATCGTCATCATGATATTCTTCTATCATTTCAAATGCGGTATTAGGCATCCTTGGTAATGCAGAGGATGCTACGATGATAGTTATCATGACAGTCATCCGCAGCTTTGGTAATGCAGAGGATGCTGCGATGATAGTTATCATAAGAGTCATCATCCTTATCATCTTCATGATGATTGTCATCCTAGTTATCGCCTTCATCATCGTCATCATGATTTTCTTCTATCTTTCTTCTATATACATTTGAAATGCATCCTTGGTAATGCAGAGGATGCTACGAGTATAGTTATCATGTTGGTAATGCAGAGGATGCTACGATGATAGTTGTCATAAGAGTCATCATCCTTATCATCTTCATGATGATTGTCATCATAGTCATCGCCGTCATCATCGTCATCATGCTTGTCATCATCATCATCATCATCATCTCTTCCTTCTATTCTTCTATCTTTTCTTCTATATGAAATGTGGCGTTAGGCATCCTCGGTAATGCAGAGGATGCTACGATGATAGTTATCATGACAGTCATCCGCAGCTTTGGTAATGCAGAGGATGCTACGATGATAGTTATCATAAGAGTCATCATCCTCATCATCTTCATGATGATTGTCATCATAGTCATCGCCTGCATCATCGTCATCATGAGTGTCATCATCATCATCATATGTTTCTTCTATCTTTCTTCTATATACATTTCAATCGTGGCGTTAGGGATGACATCTCTTGGCTCCAGCTTGAGCAAATCCCTCAATGAAATCATATAAAACTCTGATGACAAACACATACTTTTAACCAGCCTGAGTAAACAAATAAGAATAAAATAACTTCATATTTCAAATGTGGCGTTAGGAACCTTTGGTAATGCAGAAGATGCTACGATGATAGTTATCATAAGAGTCATGATGATTGTCATCATAGTCATCTTCTATCTTTCTTCTATATACATTTCCATTGTGGCGTTAGGCACCCTTGGTAATGCAGAGAATGCTACGATGATAGTTATCATGACAGTCATCCGCAGCTTTGGTAATGCAGAGGATGCTACGATGATAGTTATCATGAGAGTCATCATCCTTATCATCTTCATGATGATTGTCATCATAGTCATCGCCTTCATCATCGTCGATGATGATGATGATATGTCCACGCATCTTCTGCATCTCAAATCGGGTCTAACGGGACACTTGAAACGTACAAAAAAAGATAAGGACGATGACGAAGAAGATGATGATGAAGAGCAACCGTGATGATGATGATAATCATCATGACGCATCCTCAGCATCACCAGCAGTCATCATGATAATCATGCCACGTCTAACGGGACATGATGATGGTGAGGATGGTGAATTGACATGATAATCATCATGACGCATCCTCAGCATCACCAGCAGTCATCATGATAATCATGTCCACGCATCTCAAATCGGGTCTAACGAGACACTTGAATCGTATATAAAAAGCGACAACGACGATGATGAAGAAGATGATGATGATGAAAACCAACTGACATGATAATCATCATGACGCATCCTCAGCATCACCAGCAGTCATCATGATAATCATGTCCGCGCATCTTCTGCATCTCAAATCGGGTCTAACGGGACACTTGAAACGTATAAAAAAAGATAAGGACGATGACGAAGAAGATGATGATGATAAGCAATGATGCTGATGATGATGATGAACTGACATGATAATCATCATGACGCATCCTCAGCATCACCAGCAGTCATCATGATAATCATGTCCACGCATCTTCTGCATCTCAAATCGGGTCTAACGGGACACTTGAAACGTATAAAAGATAAGGACGATGACGAAGAAGATGATGATGATAAGCACCGTGATGATGCTGATGATGATGATGATGATGAACTGACATGATAATCATGATGACGCATCCTCAGCATCACCAGCAGTCATCATGATAATCATGTCCACGCATCTTCTGCATCTCAAACGGGACACTTGAAACGTATATAAAAAAAGATAAGACGATGACGAAGAAGATGATGATGATGAACACCAACTGACATGATAATCATCATGACGCATCCTCAGCATCACCAGCAGTCATCATTAAAAAAAGATAAGGACGATGACGAAGAAGATGATGATGATGAGCACCGTGATGATGATGCTGATGATGATGATGAACTGACATGATAATCATGACGCATCCTCAGCATCACCAGCAGTCATCATGATAATCATGTCCGCGCATCTTCTGCATCTCGAATCGGGTCTAACGGGACACTTGAAACGTATATAAAAAGATTTAAGGACGATGACGAAGAAGCTGATGATGATGAGCACCGTGATGATGATGATGATGATGATGATGATGATGATGATGAACTGACATGATAATCATCATGACGCATCCTCAGCATCACCAGCAGTCATCATGATAATCAAGATAAGCACAGCGGCGACGACCACCACGCCGATGATGATGATGATGACGATGTTGAATCTTCGGTTATGCTCATTTACCAGCCTTGGACTTGTAACCGCCCTTCCCGTACGCCTCCCCCTTTGAGGAGAAGGGGTCGGCGGATTTCTCCTTCCCGTGTGGAGGTCCCAACCCCTGACGGGAAGGGACATGGCGTGTCATTTCTTGGCTCCGGCCCCGTAGGGTGCGTGTTGAGAGCCACACACATGTTTTTCTAGAAGTTTTCCATTTTGCGACACATGAGCCACATGCCCAAGGTCGAACCTGAGCCCCGCTTACCACAAAAATCCGGGCTCTGAAGCCCCGAAGCCCCGACACCGTGCGCCCCGCCACCTTTTTTGTGTCGAGTCGCAGGTCTGAGCACCCGCCGCGGCGCGCTGCGGAACGTGCTGGCGCAGCACGGCCAGGTGGTGGAGCTCCTGGAGCTGCCGCAGCTGCCCGGGGACCCGCGGGCTCAGCCCCGGAAAGCCGAAGCGGGGACGAAGCGGGAAGGGGGGGGGGGGGCGCGGCGGAGGGAACGTGTCGGGGTGAGGCTGATTTTTGCTGGGGGGAAGTATTTTCCCCCAATTGCGAGATATGAGACCTCAGTTGTTGCCTCAGGATTTTCGATGGAATCGATGTTCGGAGTCATTTGGGAGCCTGCTTTGGGGTTTTGCGAGTTCTTTCCTTCTGATTCTGAAAGGATTTGGAGCAAATCGTGGGATCTATATAAGCATGGCAATCACTTGCAATAGATTCTGCCAAAGACCTCAACATCCCCCCCACAAAAGAAGAAGAAGAAGAAGAAGAAGAAGAAGAAGAAGAAGAAGAAGAAGAAGAAGAAGAAGAAGAAGAAGAAGAAGCGGAAGAAGAGGAAGAAGAAGAAGAAGAGGAAGAAGAAGAAGAAGAGCGAATGGTTGGATCACCATGGATTGAGCATTGGTCTTTGGAAGGAAACGAAGGAAGCAAAAGGAAACCAAGATAGCTTCTTGGTCATGTTGTGGCGCGGCTGGTTGTCAGTCAGGAATCGTTACGGGGGGGACGGGAATGACCTGGAAAAGCAATCAAGCATGGTTTCCTTGAAACCATATTTCATTCATGTTCATTCCCCAAACCCAGGGTCATTCCCTATCTCGCACCAGCCAGGTTTCGGTTCACGATTTTGTCGAACAACTTCCTGGGGCAAAAACACATGGGGTCCAAGATTCCACTTCTGGGGCTAGGCGCAACAAACCGCGAAAGCGACCGTCCTCCCGATTGACATGGAATCAAGCGCGAGGAACCCGGGGTCCATGGGCCCGTTTTGAGGAAGATAAACTCTGCAGAGTAAGCCTTCAGTTTTGAACCTCAGCCTCTTGGCTGCCAAGCGAAAGAGTTTGGAGAGGGAAATGGAAGACACCCGCCAGAAGGACAAAGGTGCCCCAGAATCGTGGGTATGCCGTGCCTGCGCCTTTTGTGGATCCCTGGGTACTCCAGCTTTGAAAGCAAAGGTGGACATTCAGGGTCCTCGGAATCCACCAAAATGGTCAAGAAAAACAAGGCCAACATCCAGGTGATGGGAAATCTGCAAGTTGGTTTTGTTTCCTGTTGTTTCCGAGGACCCCGACATCCACAGCGAAGGTGGAATCCACAATCGGCGGAAGCAAACACAGGTACTCCAATATTGATGGAAGCTGACCAGAGGTTTGGACGACCTTCCTTTTGGGGAGTCTTTGTGTCTAGCTCCATGATTGTGGAAGGGTAGGAAGAACAGGTAGATAGCAAGCAGGTTGTAACCATGCGTTATCAGGGGACAACACCCAATTCCCCCAGTTGCCCTACCTGATTCAACCCATCCAAGTAGACTCCGCAAAAAGCGCCTCTTCCGCTTGTTTGGAGCAGCATTTGTGGGCGTGTCTCAAAATTCCCTCCAAGATGCTTGGTTCCCTGTTAAAAAAAAGAAGCAATGATAGTCTGGCCGCTTGGCCTGTCTCTTAACATCTTTTGCTTTAAATTAAAATGGAACCCAGAACGGGGCTCCTTTTTCCAAAGGAGACTTCTCCCAAATGTTCATCGATTTCACTTCCTGAGTGCATTGGTCAGAAAAAGCAAACCTTTGGTCTGCCAACATGGTCTCCCAAAAAACAAGTCCAGGAACTGAGCTCACTCCCATGGCGAAGCCAGAAGAAAGGTTGGCGATGGCAAATGTTGCACCAACCATCACCAAAGCAATCCAAAAGTCCAGGAGTCTTGCTGGTGCGATTAGTAGGGCAGTAGGACCTTCAGGACCTTCCCGGTGTTGGGAATGAACCGTTTGGGGATTCACTTTCAGGAAACCACCAGTTGAATATGGGGGTCATTCCAACTCATTCCTATTGCAAAATCCTTCCCGACGCTTCCCTTGAACCCCCAGGCAAAAGGCGGCTCCTAGTCTTAGGCTGGATGCCTGCGTGCGGAACCAGATGTACGAGGAGTCGTTGGAACTGCTCGCCGCTCGATTTGGTTATGGGGAACTGGGGAAACGGCTGGATGGTGCTTGAAGGGAACCCGCGATACAAATTCACTTTTGCTTGATTTTGTTGGGGGGAGCCCCATTCTAGAGGGAGGTTTACATTGTTGGGGGGCCCATTTTAGGGGCAGATTTTGTTTTTCGGGAGCATTCTATTATTAGGTGATAGCGCGCGTTCTGTGTACGTGGACCTGACTCGTACACAGGGAACGTTTCTGACTAATTGCATTTTTTCAACCTGACTCCTTCACTCCTTGAGTAAGGTGAAAACGCCACCATACTAGAAGTGAGCCACCATGCTCAAGGAGTGATCCGGTGAGTGACGCAGTGCTCAGCTTGTGGACGTTGCGTTGGAAAGCTTCACGAACCTCATCACTGAGTAGTAGGTGATTACGCGCGTTGCTAATTAACCTTACTCTTTTTTACTGGGCCACTTGGCCCCGGCCGTTTTTAACCTTATCAAAAAACACAGGGGTTGCAGTGGATAAGTTGAAATTCTTTGGTTCGGTCTTTAAACCTTGCTCTTGGCAGTCTTGATTTTGAAACTTCCTTTGGCCTTCACTTGATTTTCAACCTTCCTTTTCCTCGTTTTGGTCCTTTGTTGCTTCTGCGCCACGCAGGCGAATTCCCCTTGCCTCCGCATTTTCAATTTAGTTTGGATTTGGTCCTGTGTTGCTCCTTCGTCACTTTGGGAGAAGTAGATGGGAAGAGTCCTCTCGCCTTCTCATTTTCAACCTTATCTTGAATTGACTTCACTTTGAACCTTATCCGGGCCTTCTGCTGCAGGCTCTTTTGAGTGTGTTTGGTCCTGTGTGTCTCCTTCGCCACGCAGGCGATTTGCATTTTCAACCTTATTTTTGATTGGGGCAGCCCCCGTTTTGCTCAAGCTCAACATCCCAAGATCAGGTAAAGGAACCATGGAGGAGTACCGTCAGCTGGCCGAGGCCAGACCTTTGCTATTAATCTGGGTGAGGACGATCTGATGGCGATGGCCATCGCAGAGTCCTAACATGACGCGAAACAGTTGGCCCTGGAGTGGAAGGACAGCGAGTTAACCTTTACACGGGAGTTGGGGTTTCGAGTGGGAGGATTACATGTGGGCACTGTTGCAGAAGGAGACGTGGGGAGACCACCTCACATTGAAGGTCCTGGCGAAAATTTGTGGAGTGGGGATAAGGGTGTGGTGCATGGAGACGGAAGAGCAGATGCTCCAGACCCACAAGATAATGCCTGCAAACGACCCAGACCCCGCCTTCCTTCTTGAATTCTCGAATCTCCAGGAGACATTTTTGATGCTAAGGTCCAGTTTTCATTTGCGTATCCACCTTATCAGTGTGCCTTTGAATGTGTACTTCAAAACCTGTTGACCCCTTCCAAAGTAACACTTCTCCACCTTATGTTTGCAAGGCTGCTGCCGGCCTTCAAAAAGAGAAGCCTTCACAAGGAAGACCTTTCAAAAGGAAGACCATTCAAGCAAAGGTGTGCTGTTCTTGTAGTGATCCATGTAAAGGATTTAGCAACGGGAGACCTTTTCAAAAGGAGAAGCTTCAAAAATAGATTCTTTTCAACAGGAAACCTCTTTACAAAGGAGACCCTTTCAACAGAACGCTTTTCACAAGGCGTTTTTAACAGGAGAGACTTTTCAAAATACTATGTTTAATAGGCGACATTTGTCAAAAGAAGAGCCTCCTAAAAGAAAAAAACTTTCAACCAAAAGAAAAAAGAGCTTTCAAAAGGAAAGCACTTGGTCCTTGATAGCAATAGCCCCTTGATTGTTTCCAACCTTTGCGAAGCAGTGGCTTGATACAGTTCAGGCCCTTTCGCATTCCTACCTTTTTTGTCCTGTGTCTTTTCAACCTCATCATGCAATGTTTTCTCTTGAACTTCTACCTTCTCCAAAAATCAATGATAGGGTAGAAGTGCTTCAGGGCAAAGCGAAAAGTGGCCGCAGGCACAAAAGCAAGGTGAAGAATATATAGAGAGAATAGGAATGACCAATGATAAGGTGATTGCTTGGTTTTTGAACCTTACCAACTTACTGTAGAGCAAAGTCGAGAAGTTCAAAAGCCAACATGCTCAAGAGTAAGGTGGAAAAACTCAATCGCCGCCATGCGCAAGAGTAAGGTGGAAAAGTAGAAGCCACCATGCTCAAGAGCAAGGTGGATAAGCAGAAGCCACCATGCTCAAGAGTAATTATGCTGGAACAAGCAGACAGCCACCGTGCTCAAGTAGTAGGTGATGCCCGCCTCAGAATCTTGACCTCACTCTGGGGGTCGTTCCCGCCCCAGAAGCGGCATTTTTTCCACCTCATCGTGGCAACTCTGTGAGGTGATAAATCAAAATGTAGCAAGGATAAGGTGCAGAAGCACGGATGCTGTCACCTTATTTTGGAAGGATTAGGCCTAGCTTGCGCAGGTTGGTCCTGGGCTGCACGTGAGCAAGGTGAACTCGAACGCCGGGCAGGGCATTCGTGCCTAATCAAGTGGAAGGGGGGTTGAATGTCCAAAGTGTTTTTATCTCATCATAGCACGCTTTGGTGCAACATCTTGAATCCATCCACTGCTTTGAGGCTCCCAAGCACTTTTGACAGACAGTTGCAAACTTGCCTTCCTGCGTCATGGCCTCCATCATGAGCGCCTACGAGGAGCTGGCTTTCTCCTTGGGGCTGAGTGAGGAGGAGTGGGCAATTGTGGACTTGGATGGAGATGCGCGGCAGCTGGCCCGGGCCGACCAGGCATGGACCTTGGCCTGGGCGTGCGCAAGCCCGTACGCGCCACAGTGCCGGAGAAGCTGCATGTTCCATTCCCTCGTCGCTTCGGCGAAGGAGAAGGGCCATGACTTGGGCAACGTCTTGGCAGCGCGAGTGAAGGTGCACGAAGTGTTGGCCTTGGTCGACGGTGAGTGGGGGGACGACGTTCAGCTCCACGCCTTCTGCGACAGCAGTGGTTACGGAGTGAGGGCCAATTTCCTGAGCCCCGAAGCACCAAAGAGTACTTCCTTGACAGCCACCTCAAGTGCCCGTGGGACAATGACAGCCCTGATCTCGTCTTGGACCTTTGCAACATCCAGGCTGGGAAGCGCAAAAAAAGCAGTTTTTTCACCTTATCATCCTCAAATGTTTAACCTTTCTCGTCTTAGCCTCTTTTTTAAGAGCAAGTTTAGATTTTAGCTGTGCAGTCGGCCAGCGTGTCTTGGCACGAACACCAGGCTGGCAGCATGTCTTGGCACGAACACCGGGCTGGCCAGCACACACACGGCGGCCAGCATAGCATGGGTGGCCAGCATGTCTTGGCGAACACCCCAGGCTGGCGCATGTCTTGGCACGAACACCAGCCTGGCCAGCATGTCTTGGCACGAACACCAGGTGTAAAAGTAGAAAGCCACCATGCTCCAGAGTAAGGTGTAAAAGTAGGAAGCCACCATGCTCAAGAGTGTGGTGGAAAAGCAGAAAGCCCAAGAGTAAGGTGGAAAAGTAGAAAGCCACCATGCGCAAGAGTATGGTGGAAAAGTAGTAGGCCACCATGCCCAAGAGCAAGGTGTAAAAGTAGAAAGCCACCATGCTCAAGAGCAAGGTGGAAAAGCAGAAGCCACCATGCTCAAAAGTAAGGTGACAGAGTAAGGTGTAACAGCAGAAAGCCACCATGCTCAAGAGTATGGTGGAAAGGCAGAAAGCAACCATGCTCAAGAGAAAGCCACGTGTGGTGGAAAAGCAGAAAGCCACCATGCTCAAGAGTAAGGTGGAAAAGTAGAAAGCCACCATGCCTATAAGGTGGGAAAGTAGTAGGCCACCATGTTCAAGGACAATGCATTTTTTCTCAGCTCCCTCCTCCTTTCACGGCATGACGAGAGGCTTCACGAGGGACATTAGAGGAAGGTCATAACGAAGGGACCAGGAGTAAGGTCATAAAGAATCAGCTAGGAGTAAGGTCAAAAATGTGGATCTTATGAAAAACACTCACTTTTGGCGAGGCTCTCTTGTAGACGAGGTTCCATGAACACCGCTGATGCTGAAGACCCAGGGGGCCCCTTTAAAGGGCCCCTTCAAGGGAAGAGTTGAGAGTTGCAGGGTAAGGGCGTAAGGAAAACAAACAAGGGAGTGGTTACGGGTGAGCCCTGATGAGAGTAAGGGCATGAAGACCAAAAACAAAACCCCGAAAGTAAGGGCGTAATCAGAAGCAGAGGCACAGAGGAAGATCATATCGAGAGGGTTCACCAATCAGCCCTGACACGGGTGATAACTGCATATCCATCCGTTTTGAAACCAGATGCTGCCTATCCGTTGCGAAGAACTTTGGCTTCAGACAGCCATCTTCAGCAATTTCTCGCATTTGCCTGCTGCCCTCGCTCCCCTTCTTTGCTTTCTAGCAAATCATGGCGATCCTGGCAACCCTGGCATCTTTTTTGGTCACGGTCTTTTGTTTTTGAAAGCGGCAATTTTTCTCTTGCAACTTCCCTTGTCCTCTCAGGGCTTCCTGTTGTTCGTTGCGGATCAAACGGCCTTGGCCATGGCGTTGGCCCTCATCTTTCATTTTACTTTCTGTCCTTTGCCTTTGGTTTCTGTTTTTACTCGAGTGTGCTGGAGGTTTGAATGATAAGAGTGGGTCTTTTTACCTAGGAGAGAGGTGATAAATGTATCAAAAAAGTTGACAAGGTTGAAGAGTAAGGGCGTGGCCAACTTAGGAACCTGACCAACTTCGCAGACGGACTTAGAGTAATGTGGATAAGTTCAACGTCACCATGCGCAAGAGCAAGGTGGAAAAATCGAAAGTTACCAAAGAGGGCAAGTAGAGCGCCACCATGCTGAAGAGTAAGGAAAAGCGAGCCACCATGCTCAAGAGTAAGGCGGAAAAATAGAGAGCCATAAGCGTTTTTGTGAAGCTGCGAAGAAGACACTGGTTGCATTCTGTTGGTGGAACATCGGACGGTTTTGGGCGAAAACGCCCCGCCGCTCCGAGGCCTTCTGCCACTCCTTGCTGCAAGCACACGATGCGAGGGGCGAGGAGATTGGGGTGCTGACCAGCATCAAGGACCAGGCGCAAAAGGATGCAGGGGACACCCTTTTTTGGGCAGATTTGCCTCAGGACCATGCCCACACTACTCGGTTTTTGGGTAGAGGTTTGGGGCGTGCTTGCAGAGGAACGAATGTTGCGGGGAACAAAATCGTCCTAACTCCAAATTGGAGGCGCAGGCTCCAACAATAATTGGTTGGCAATTGGTTGGCAATCAGGAGGCCTTAGCCAAGTCAGCAAAGGGTCTATGATCACCGTCATCCCCTATAGCCAAGGGCATGACAGTGGGGCACTCACCAAATTGCCTTCAAGGGAAATGGAGGTTACTTATCAAAATCCAAATGTCAGTCAGGGGCAGTTAAGTTCATACTGACCAGGTGCAAACCATGTGGTTCAGTTCAGGAAGGCACCCCAAGAACTGGATTTTCTCCCCAGTAAGGCAAACTTGTTTAAGCAATCGAATGGACCCCAAAGAGAGATGAAGCGAGAGGAAGCCTTAAGTTGTGTAAAGGAAGCCTTAAGTTTGTAAAACAGTTGCAACACACATACACACTTGATTTGCTCCATCTCTGGAGAAGATCCCTGTGATTCCCCTTTGTTGTCGTGCTGTTAATGATGGCACCAATCTCTGGCGAAGGTACCAGCCAGAACAAGGAAAACCACAAAGGGAGAGGGCCCTTTTTTCGCCCGTTTTGTTTCGTTGGCCGAAGCCTCCAAAGCCCACTCCATAAATTACAGAACCATTGCATAGACATGGGAGTGGGGCTCAGGATTCTACAGTATTAAACCAGCGTTCTACCGCTTAAGGTTCAGTACTCTGCATGGACGAAATCCCGTAGTTGGGACGGAAGCCGTAAAAGCAGCGGGAGAAGCCGCTTATCCCGCCTGGTGCCTGGCACGGATTTTTCGTCTCGTCACTCGAACTGCGGAGCGCGAGGTGGCGGTGCAGAGGGCGAACCTGCGCGAGGCATTGGCCTCGCAGCTGAAGACGGAGCCTCCGCATCGAAATGGGCGAGGGAGTTGGGTTGGACCCACCACCAAGTGTGAGTGGGTGTTTTTGAGGCTACCCCTTTCAAGAGGACTTCAACAGCAACACCATCAGTTCTTGGGTCCCACTGAAATCCTCTACCTGTTTAGACTTGCAAGCCCCTGTGGTGTCTCCGGAATTCCCTGCTTCGAATGCTAACAAATCCAGGAATTTTTCAGATACCCACCAGGATACTCAACCACTTTTCGGCATCTAAGATGAGAATAGAACAGATGAAACAAATTCTAGGTTTAGAGAGGCATTTGGAAAGAAAGATGGCTGACAACAAGGGGAAAACGTATCAAGACCAACAGGTAAAACACAAAGTACTCAGGCCGGCGTTCATCACCTCGCTGGTTTTCTAGAAATCTTGGTTTTTCACAGTAGGCAACCTGTTTTTCCCCTCCTGGGTTTGTTGTTGAAAGGGAAGCCAAGCTGCCGAATGAGAATCAGCCTGCAGAACTGCGAAGACTTTCTAGAACCTGATGAACCTTCTCTTTGTTCTTCAAATTCAAGAATCCCCAGAGCCGCAATCCGCAAACAGGCGCCGACCCACAACGCGACCGACCGAACTGAAGACGACGCGAGCACCAAAACGCCGCAACGCAACGGCTCCCAGGACATCCACCTGCCCGCGTGCGTGCGGATCGTGGGCTTCCTGCGGCGGTGCATGCGCCACTCCGAGGAGGAGCTGCGGAAACTCTTCATCGAGCGCCTTGGCCGGAAGTTGGCCTCCCAACAAACCCGACTGGGCCATGTTGGCATCGTGTCCTACCTAGCTTTATGGAGTTTTCTTATGGTGGTTTGCGTTTGGTGGAAAGCAAGGGCGTAAATGTGGAATGCCGTACTTTAGATGACCCTCGCTTGGCTTAATGGCTAGCAACCTTGATTGCAATCCACTTAGTGGTAAGTAGTTGTTTATAGGCACGATTACTACCCACTCAGAGCATCTAAGTAAGGATGTTTCTCAAAATTGTGGAGCTCAACGGACATATCGGTTGTCTATTTTGAAAAAGCTCCCACAACGACCAGACTAGTTGGAACAGGGTTGTGGGGTTACTTCACAAGAATCAAATAAAAGTCATGAAGATGGGAGCACAATCTGCGCAAGCATTCAGCCGCTTGGTAAGTCCACATCCAAGGGTGTGCCGGGTACAGGTGCCCTCGCGCTTCGGGTCGGAGCAAGGATTGCAACATTGTCTTGAACCCCTCCGAACATGGAAGCCCAAAGGCCATTGGAGTTTCGCAACTCCTCGGTTCCTCCTAGACAGGACCGATTCCCCTTTTGTCTTAGCCATGTTGGAAGGCAGAAACACGGTCCGTTGGGGTGGGGTTTGCATCGCGAAATGGGCGTGTCTTTCAGGAGATCGCCAAAATGGTAACATATCCTTTTGGTTTCCCTTTAAAGCAATCCCCAACCCCAAACAGGGTTCGAAACAAACATAGGGGACTTCCAAAATAGCTGTCCCTTTGGTTTCCTTTAACCACCCCATCCAGCTGTCCAAAAAGAGCTCTTTTGGGAAGCTGTCCCATGAAACACCCTGCTCTTAGCTTTGGTTGATTTGGGTGGTGGGTCTTTGAGGTGGTCAAAACCCAGATACCCCTTTTTTCACCCCAGACCCCCTTTTTTGGGGCCCTGGTCCCGATTTCACGGGCAAGAGACTTTGCTTGGGCCTTGGGGCCTGGTCCGCCCTGGTCCCGATGTTAGCGGGGGAGGCACCGGAGCAAGTTCCTGGAGAGCCACAAGCAGCAGGTGGAGCTTCTGAGGCACAGCCGGGGGAGCGCTGCTCGCCCGCAGAGATTTCGCCCGTGCCCTTTGGGAAACCGAGAAAGAGGAGAGCGACCGAAGACGTGACTTTTTGTTTTCTTCTCCTGCTTTTTCGGGTTGGGTTGAGACGTTTTTTTTTTTTTTCCTTCTTCTTTTTTTTTTGCTTTTTGGGTTGGGTTCCCTGGCATACCTTGCTTGGGTTGGCGGGTTTGCCGCAAAAAAGAAGGCTTCCCTGGCTGGAGTTTGTTTCTCAGAGTGGCTGTTTCATGCTAGGCGTGGAACCACCTTGTGTCAGCCTATTTCTTGGACAAGGCACAATGTCGGGGAAATCAGCTTGGTCCAAAAGAAGCAGATCCTTGCTGCACCGATTCGTTCAGCAAAGCCCTATGCTGTTCTCATATTCTTGCGCCAATTCTTAAGCCAACGCCTGAAGGGTTTGATGGGAAAAGGGCGCTCAGCTTTAGGTGAGCATCACTTTGCGCACACCTAGATTCATGAGTTGTGTATTCACGTGAACCAGGATGCACCATCCACCAGCGATCGTTACATCCCTTCCGCAGTCGCATGCCTTTACGGTGCAAGGCTACCCGGTGCTTTCCTGGTCATGTTTTTTTGAGAGGTGCACACACGCACACACACACACACATCTTCGATCTATTCTTCATGACAAACTGCTTTTCGAAGCGGCGAGCCGCCGTGCTGGCCAAGGTTGGGACGGCGCTGCGAAATGCCGCAGACTTGCTGCGCACGCGACTTGTTTATGAAACAAATGGGGTATGCGTCAGAATGGGGGAGCCTCCCCCCCAAAAAAGTAAATGAATAAATAAGATGTGGTTTTTCTTATGGCTTCGCTTTTCCACCACCCAAAATAGGGTGCCTTCCAACCAGCCAAGGCATGTCTACGACATCGGAACGCAGTACAAGGCGTCAGCGTGAAGTCTGGCACCGCAAATGAGCAGCGCCCAAAACTAGTCGGTTTGGCTCCTGCCGGTTTCATAGGATTTATCCTACGGGCTATATACACACCAACCATGGTAGAACCAAACATCAATCGGTTTTGGGTCATTGCTCATGAAAAAGCTTGATAGCAGACATGCAGCTGAAGTCCTGGACAGGCGCTTTTTCCGCAAGATGACGGGCCTTTGGGTGCTTGGTTGAACAGTCAGGTCATGTGGCTTGTCTGCACAAAAATTCTCGTATGAATGGGGTGCATGATGAACTCTGCATTATGAGCATTGGACTGGTTGTGGTTCAGGGGGCGCATCATGAGCATCATTTGGGCTGGTTGGGTGTCGCTGTGGCCAGCCAACTGCTTCAGGGTCTGCTGGTTAGCTGGTTGAGCTTGGGCTTGTTGTGGTTCAGGGGCCCATCATTGAGCATCATTTGGGCTGGTCGGGTGTCGCTGTGGCCAGCCAACTGCATCATGAGCTGGCTGGGGGGCAGCTGCTGTAGCCAGCTGGTTGAGCTTGGGCTGGTTGTGGGTTCAGGGGCCGCGGGCTGGTTGTGGTTCAGGGTCCGCATCATGAGCATCATTTGGTCTGGTTGGGTGTCGCTGTGGCCGGCCAACTGCTGCAGGGTCTGCATCAGGAGCTGGTTGGGGGGCAGCTGCTGTAGCCAGCTGGTTGAGCTTGGGCTGGTTGTGGTTCAGGGGCCGCGGGCTGGTTGTGGTTCAGGGTCCGCATCATGAGCATCATTTGGTCTGGTTGGGTGTCGCTGTGGCCGGCCAACTGCTGTAGGGTCTGCATCATGAGCTGGTTGGGGGGCAGCTGCTGTGGCCAGCTGGTTGAGCTTGGGCTGGTTGTGGTTCAGGCAGGGGCCTGCATCATGAGCATCATTTGGGCTGGTTGGGTGTCGCTGTGGCCAGCCAACTGCTTCAGGGTCTGCATCATGAGCTGGTTGGGGGGGCAGCTGCTGTATCCAGCTGGTTGAGCTTGGGCTGGTTGTGGGTTCAGGGGCCTGCATCATGAGCATCATTTGGTCTGGTTGGGTGTCGCTGTGGCCAGCCAACTGTTTCAGGGTCTGCTGGTTGGGGGCAGTTGGGCTGGTTGTGGTTCAGGAGCCTGCATCATGATCATCATTTGGGCTGGTTGGGTGTCTGAGCTGGTTGGGGGGGAGCTGCTGCTAGCTGGTTCAGACTGCATCATGAGCATGGCTGGTTGAAGGGCGGCTGGTAAGGGCTGCATCATGAGCATTGGGTGCGGCCAGTCAGCTTGTTCAGGGGTGGTTTCAACACACAAGCTCTTGACACTCCCTACACTCCCCAACAGCCGAAGCTTTGGGGTCTTCAGTGTATGCCACCTGGGCTGATGCACTTTGCTTGTGTAAACAGAGCTCACCAGTGTGTTCTTTGCTTGGGGACCATTCACACCTGTCGTAGGCATCGGCAATCCCTTGGAGCCGGTCCAAGCTGTACAGCGGCTGCTCGTTTCTTTTGCGGGCAATCGAAAAGGGTTTGTATGAGCCTGAGGTGGTTCGTCTCGCTGCTCCGACAGCACGTGTTGCCTAGCGGTCCCAGCGCGGCCCGGAGCAAGGGGGTCAGCCGGTGTGGGTATGTCTGGTCGAAATAGGGATTTGGAACCCCCCAAATGGTTGGGTTTCCTTTGGTTTCCTTTAAATGTGAAAAGGGTTCCGAGCCTCAAAAACCGCATACCGACTGGTAAAGCCAGCCTAGTTTGATCCAGGAATCGCAAACCCCGGTTGACTTTGATTGGGATATCCCATCCTATTGATCCGCCAGGCTGATTGACCCCGATCCAACAAGCGATTCTCCGAGGTTTGCTGAACGCCTAGGACAAATCCTGGGTAGAAATCGGCTCTGATATTTGCATAGGGACTTGGCCATCTACATTTGTTTCTTGAACACCCCTCGGGATTGCGGTTCTGTGACCAACTAGTCGCTGGTTCTGTTCAGAAAAGGATGCAGGTCGAGATTCCACGGGGTGCCGATGGTGCTTGTTTCAACAGCAAATGCCATGAAAACCCCTGGCGGTTGTCACATAAACTTACAACCAAAAGAATGTATGGCCAAAGTTGATGCCAATTTTTTGGCGCTTCAAAGTGTATGGGGCAAGTCTGTGAGACTCCCAACCCGCTTCTTCTTTTGGTTTGCCTAAGCCAAGCTGCCCGAGGCCAAAGGTTCGGCGCTGGCGGCAGCTCGACTGCAGCGGGCTTTTGGGCTTTTCGAACCCAACAGGGTCTTGCAGCGGCTGGGTTGGGCAATACCGCTGTCACATGTTTAGGCCACTGTAGTTCAAGCATTGAGCTGCCCGTCTTGAATCTAAGTGTTTTTCACGAACCAGCTGCGTTGGATCCGCTTTGCTTGCGCCAAAGCACAGGTGGGCATTCAAATTTGCTTTCATGGGAACTAACTCACCTCGGTGATGTCCACCAAATGGGCTCCAGTTAATTGGCTGTGGGTCAAAACCAATGATACCATTTTGGGGTAGGTGCATCACCCATTTTAGTCTATGTTAGTGCAGATTGGGATGTTCACTGGGGGACAGGATTTTGACCCATGGCCAATTTTATATATGCGAATGCATGGGTCTAGGCCAAGATCGACGCTGCCCAGCTGACCACGGTCTTGCGGCAATGTGTCCACGCCTCGTCCACGCTGAAGCGACTAGGCCAGGACCCGACTTGGCCTCCAAGAAGTAATAAAGGGTGCGACGGTCAAAACACCCCTTCTTGAGATTACTAGATTACTAGGGCTCATGAACCCCTCGCTAGGGTTTTGGACATGCTTATAAGGGTTCCTAGAAACTGAACCATGACCAGGACCTACGGGGAGTTTCGCCCATGCAGCTCAAAATTAAAGAGCCAGGGTTACGCAGGTTTTAGTCTCTGGTTCCATTTGCCAAGGTGCCATTTTGGTACATGTTTTTGAGCCACAGTCATGTAGGGTTGTCTCCTTCAAACAAGGAAACCATGCCCATACGGTGCACCGACCATTTTCATCAGCCCCTAGATTATGGGAGGTCCGAGGCGCGAGGAAGGTCAACACCTTGCGAAGACTTTTCTGTTTCTTCCTCGGAAAAGCCAAACCCACCTGGGGTTCATTCATTGGCACCTGCAAGGCGTATGACTGTTCGGGGCCGAGGACCTCACGCGGTTCCCATTCGAACCTGGGGCAGGAGGAAACAGACTCCCGAAAATGGTTGGGCGTCGGTTGTCTTTGCTAAAAGAGACCAGGCCAGGAGATTGCCTTATCAGTTTCCGGTTGCTCTAAAATCAGCCAGAAGCTTGTCATGCGCGAGAGATGACCTTTAAAGTTTTCGGGATTCCTCAAGATACAGCCGTGCAGATGATTTGCAGAGCATGGAACACTTGCTTGTGGCAACCGCACGCTGGGGCCCGTTTCGGCTGTGACAAAGGAACAACAACCGCCGCCAGGGGGCCACTTCTTCCCTGCGGTGTCCGGGATCTTTGAGGCGCGCTGCTAAGCCCCAACCGCTAAAAGCTTGGGACATCCAGATGAAACCCGGACGACTGTGGGCCAAGGTTGCGGAAGGGTGCAAAGGGACATGCTTCTACCACCCCCACATGCCGTTGGTTTGGGGGAATTTTTTACTGGGATGTTCCACCAATATGTAGAGTTGGTTATAGGTTATAAATTGTATTAGCGGTTGTATCTCGGAGGACTGAGATTGTGCAAATGGGTTTCTCTCAAAATAGGGGACCCTCAAAATTTTGTGTTCTCCTTTGCTTCCCCTTAAATCAACAAAAAAGCAAACAAACATTACTTCGCTTCGAGCAATCCCCACCCTCCACACTCGACGGGGATTAAACGAAGTGGCTTATTCACAACCCAAAGCAACACAAAAGCATCACCCTTTCCGAGCCTCAGGGTACACTCAAAACACGAAGGCACCAACATGAAAGGTAAACCCAACTGTGCGCCGGGCGGGACATTAAGCAAAACCAGACTGGCGAGCTGCTCTGGCGGGATACTGGCGTCATCCACTGACGAATACTGGCGAGCCGCTCCTTCTCGATACTGGACGGGTACTCGGCAGGATCCGCCGGCAAGGGAAACTCAGCCGGATACTTGGCGGGTCCACTGGCGAGCTACTCTGGGATACTCAGCAGGATACTCGGCGAGATCCACTGGCGGGCTGCTCTGGTGGGATACTTGGCGGGATACTCGTATGGTTGGATACTAGGGGGGATCCACTCGCGAGCTACTCTGGGATACTCAGCAGGATGCTCGACGGGATCCACTGGGATACTCGGCGGGGTCCACTGGCGAGCTACTCTGGCGGGATACTCGGCGGGATCCGCTGGCGAGCTACTCTGGGATACTCAGCGATACTCGGCGGCATCCACCGGCCAGCTGCTCTGGCGGGATACTCGGCGGGATCCACTGGCGAGCTACTCTGGGATACTCAGCGGGATACTCGGCGGGATTCACTGGCGGGCTGCTCTGGTGGGATACTCGGCGGGATCCACTGGCAAGCCGCTCTGGCAGGATACTCGGCGGGATTCACTGGCACTGGTGAGCAGCTCTTGCGAGATACTACCGGCGAGCCGCTCTGGCGGGATACTCGGCGGGATCCACTGGCCGCTCTGGCGGGATACTCGGCGGGATTCACTGGCGAGCGCCAGAGCGGGATACTCGGCGGGATCCACTGGCGGGCTGCTCTGGTGGGATACTCGGCGGGATCCACTGGCGAGCCGCTCTGGCAGGATACTCGGCGGGATTCACTGGCACTGGTGAGCAGCTCTGGCGAGATACTACCGGCGAGCCGCTCTGGCGGGATACTCGGCGGGATCCACTGGCCGCTCTGGCGGGATACTCGGCGGGATTCACTGGCGAGCGCCAGAGCGGGATACTCGGCGGGATCCACTGGCGGGCTGCTCTGGTGGGATACTCGCGGGACCCACTGGCGAGCCGCTCTGGCAGGATACTCGGCGGGATTCACTGGCACTGGTGAGCAGCTCTGGCGAGATACTACCGGCGAGCCGCTCTGGCGGGATACTCGGCGGGATCCACTGGCCGCTCTGGCGGGATACTCGGCGGGATTCACTGGCGAGCGCCAGAGCGGGATACTCGGCGGGATCCACTGGCGAGCAGCTCTGGCGGGATACTGGGCGGGATCCACTGGCGACGCTGGCGGGATGCTCGGCGGGATCCACTGGCGAGCTGCTCTGGCGGGATACTGGGTGGGGGCGTGGTGTAGGAGCATCGCAAACGCGGATTCCAACATAAAATCTAGCAACCCCTTTCTGTCGGGTGGGGAACAACCCACACACAGTTTACCATCAAACAAAAAGAATCTTCACGCCCAGCTGGCCCGACGGCGCCCGTGGTTCGCGCGCCCTCGCTCGCCTTGCCGTCGCGGCGTCGCGGCGAGGCGCGGATGGAGAGCTACTGCCGGGAGATGTTGGACGCGGCGTTGCTCACCTTCCACGCGGAGCTGGGGCGCTACGACTGGGTGCCCTCCACCGCCCTGAGCAGCTCCGGCACGAAGAGACGAAGGGCGCGGACACTCCGAGAGCCGTTTTTTGTGTTTTCGCAGGTTTGGGTCATTGTGTCCATTTACCACCTGGGGTGGGCATTTTGACAAGCTGACCGGCCAAGAAGACAAGGCTCTTGCAAAGGCAAAAAGGGGTCATTTTGGGTACATTCTGTTGAGCCAAGTCTTCCTTCTTTTTCTTTGAAAGGGACATGGGGGATAGCGAGCGTTCGCAGAAAGAGCAGGAGACTCGCCAAGTCAGGTTTTTCCCCATATTGGGTTGGTTGAAACATCGGCTTGTGGGATGGACATTGAGTTTCGTGGGGTGTGGTTTTGCGGGGAAATATAGGGAGCGCGAAGCAAAGCCCAAAACCAAAGTGAAGCCGACGAAGCTTTTTGGGCTCAGCGCTGTTTCTGGTTGCGCCACAAGACAAATAGGTCTGGGGCTGGAAAACCCCAAGCCGGGCAAAAGAAGAGAAGGGAACGGGAGGAACCCATTTTGGTGTCCGATGTCCAAAAGAAGCCTCTCTTTTTTTTTTGGGCTCACCGGTTGGTACAGAGCTTTGCAAGAGGGACGGTAGATTTCCCCCATTGAGAATCAATCCTTGGGCAAGACGCCTGGCTTCGGTGGCCGGTTCCAAGTGGATATGAGTTTGAATAGGGGACTCGGATTTGTGTCCACCAATGACTCTTCAGAGGGTTTGAATTCATCGGCAAGTTTAGGAAGGTTCTGGGATTTTTGGCTTTGTGCTCCACCAGGCGACATGCGGTCGACATGCGTGACTGCTTGCTATCGGGGCTGCCAGTTCATGAATATAGCCGTGGCGTTGGGAATTCCCTCTCCCACATGGTTGGTGGACATCAATTTCCACATGATGTCCACCAAGAGATCCCCAATCAACATTCATACCCATAAGTTGATCTGTTTTAGCTCCCGATCGGACATTGCCCTTCTCTCTCTCCCTTGTCAACACAATGATGTCCACCAAAGGGTTTCCACTCAACATATTTCTTGAAGTTTCACAAGCTAATCTTTCAGATTCCAATGGCAGATCTCCGGACTTTGGTTTCCAAGGCTTATCCGAAGGTTCCGACTCCTAGGCTCTGGGGAGTCCGCTGGCTGGCTGCACCCACAGGCCATTCGGTTCGCTTTGGCCGAGCTTCGAATCAAGCAGAGAGCGACGGACGGTTGTGTTTACAGGGAGCCGTTCCGGCACCAAGCTCGCCCTTGCTCAGAATTCTTACCTAGCAATTTTTGCATGAGAACCTGTCCAAGAGATATGACCTAATCCAAGAGATGCCATTCCTTTCTCATCCCTCACTCTCTCCATCCGCCCTTCCTACCTCTTAGAATCTTCTGGATGTTAATGTTGGCGAAGATTCCCAAGAGACCGACAATCAGGTGGAGAATGGAGGTTGTTTGTACAATGCTTGACAGTCCTTGGGATTTTTTTCGTTATTTGTCTTCATGGAGATTCCAAGAGATACATGAGAACCAATGCAAATATGGTGAATGAGATGAGAGCGGGTTGATGTCATCCCTTCCCTCTTGCTCGCCAATTTCATATTCTGCCCATTGGTTTTCCTCCGCCAGGCTCGATGCGGAGTCCTTTTTCATTCTGTGCGTTCTGACTCCACTCGGACGCTCCTCAATCAATCTGTCCTCCTTCTTCGGAGACTTGTGAGCCAGACACTTGTGCGCGCAACTTGTTGACCTGAGCAATTGGCGCTTGCGTGTTGCGTGTTGCATCATCACGTCCAATCGTCGGTGGCAAGAGCCTTGTCCGTTGAATCATCCCACTTCCAGGTCATTCGAACTCTTCGATTTTTAGAGCGGCAGCTTTCCGATTCTGTACCGCTTGGTATGACTCACGAAGAGCAGGAGTACAAGGCAAGGTCAGGTCACTCTTGCTTGCCATGTGCGCTTTGATGATCTTGTTCTCTGCCGATTTCAGCTTATTGTGGATCAAGTTTCTAGGTGTCTCAGGAAGCGATCAACCGCTTCAGAGCAAATTCGCATGAGTAAGCCTCGATTTTCAGAGCGTCCTTTTGGCTACACCAGGTATGCTACGTGCTCGTCTTGTGGCTGGATGAAGGCTCTGAGCTTTCAAGAAGCGGTGGGAGCGTGTGATCATGCAGCCAGCCACAGCTGTCCAGGCCAAATGATGGTCAGCAGCCGGAGTTTTGATTGGTGGGGAAAAGGCACGGTAGCAAACCAGACGTGCACTTGTCTCCAGCCAGCCTTGACAGTGAGCATTGCCACCTTGTCAGGTGAAGTCTTGGGGGAGGTGGGTATTGGGAAAGCTTGGTGCGTGATTGACGTGAAGCAGAAGCTGGAACGCATGCTGGACAAGCAAAGCAGGACATTTCCTGCACGAGAGATGATCTTGTGTTACCAGGAAGTCGCATTGGCGAACGGCTGTGAGGTGTCGGGCTTGAAAGACATTGAAGCCAACCCCAATTTGGCGATGCTGCGCCGTGACAAGGACGAGGCCAGAGTTTTAGAAGACGTAACAAAAGATTGGAAGGCTATCAAACAACCTGGCATTCCTCAAGTTGCTCTCCAATCAAAGGACGTGATCTTGGAGGTGATGCGGCAGTCGGACAAGGCTTTTCGTCACGCCCATCCTTCGCTCCTGTCCGATGACCTTTTTTTGCAGCAGGCCTGTCAGCTTCGTGGACAGGCTGAACCGCCCTCCGACACATGGGTTCGCAACATTGCAGATGTCTCTTGGTGTGTTTATTGAGGAACCTTTTTTTTGAAACCAAGCGGAAATGTACCGTTTTCGGGGCGCAGCTGAATTTGACTTTTAACTTTTCACGTGTGCCACTGCCTAGGAACACGTTTAAGTTTTGCAGGGGGTCGCAGAGCAACCTAGGTCATGCTATTCTTGTGTCATACTGCCAAGAGTGCGTCGGACATTCGGATTGGTCATGCGTCCTGGAAGGTGTTTGACAAAGCCTGTCCGGGGGACCGCTTGGCCCTTATACTGAATGTTGTGCCCAAGCTGAAGTCGCAACAAACAAGACAGCAACTTTTGGAGAAGCTCTCCAGTCTTCCCGTAACTGGCATATCCGCAGGTTTCACCTCGGATGCTGCTACCGACCCAGAGTTGGCAAAAGCTTTATTGGACGCCTGCCCGAGCGAAGCGTTGCGTGAGCCTCCTGAAACAAGTCTGCTGATATTGCCCGAAAGGTCGCACCGACCCGATTTTGCTTTGCGAGTACTGTTGAGCAACGAGCTGGAATGGGCAGTGTTTAATTTCTTTTTGGCAGAGGCGTTGAAAAAAGCATCTTTGCAATTGCATGAGGTCGTGCCGCTTCTGGACCAGTGCGTTTGCCGAGGTAGGACGGATTGCATTCCCAATTTGATTCAGATGGCCGCAGCTGGCGTGAGTGATTCTGAAGTGAGCACAGTTTTGGAGCTGGCCAAGGCGAAGCAAGTATCACTGATGTTCCTTTCCAGCGTGGCTCCGCTGGAGCGCCGGTCCCTGCTGATGGAGGAGTTCCTCCGATCCGTGCCGCAGGAGCAGCTGCTTGTTTCACTCGACAAAGACGAGCGGGACTTGGCAAGTCTGTTGGCAGTGGCCCAGCATTCGGGAGACCCAGCGATCCTAAAGTCCGCCGGCCTGGGTAAAGCGCTGGACTTCCTTCTGGAGGACCGCTGCGAGGCTGGCCGGTGGCCGCGGGTCGGCCCGCTTCTACTTCGCACCCTGAAGGAAGCTTTGCCAGGCCGCGTGGCTGCCCGCGTGCCGTTGGCATGGTTTCAAGATGAGGCGTCTCGGGCAGGCCTGGGGCCTGTGGTGGCAGAGGCAGTTGTTGTGCAGTTGCAGCAATGCGCCGATGAAGACTTCGCAAGCAGATGGCCGGTGTTTCAAACCTGGAGTGACGCTTGGGAGGCATGCGACGAGTCACTCTGCCGGCAAGCTCTAGAGTTGCTCGCCAGATTCTGCAGGCTTGGTGGCCAGCAAACTGGTGCTGTAAACATGCTCCGATGCTTGCCACTCAGTAGATTGAGCGACAGCAGCGCGCTTTTTGCCGATGGCATGCCGCCTGCTGCGCATGGCATCTACGCTGAGCGAAGGGCACGCTTCGAGCACGAGCAGTTGCTGCAGCAACTGCAGCAAGTAGAGCGGCTTGCGAGATCGGCTCAGACGTGTGCGGAGCAGGCGCTGGCGCTTGCCCAGGAAGCTGACGAGAAGGCCACGCATGCTGACAACACGGCCACGCATGCGGATAACAAGGCCGCGCGTGCAGCTGAACTGGCAGATCATGCTGAGAACATTGCATCAGAAGCACTGCGGGTTGCCAGTGCGGCACGCCGGGATTCCGATTCCTGACTCCAAAGTGGGCGCTGAAAAGGCCAAGCTGCGCAGTGTTCTGCTTGCGACCAGTCTCTGAGGTGCTCTGTCAGAAAGACGCCACGGAACGGTGGCCTTTCGCCCTTTTCTCTGTAGAGTTTGGTGGCCAGCTCTTCGAATGCTGCTATTTTCTTTGATGGTCGCCGATTGCCAGGTAGGTTGCATGGGAATCCAAAGCACTCGTGAGGCTCTGGAGCTCACACGGCACCGGCCTCTGGCGGTGCTCACCAACGACATTGTGCAGGCCGCGTTTTGGGAATGGACACCATGGACACGTTTCCAACGGGCCAACGCTTTCTTCGCGAGTTAGGTAACCCCCTTGCGGTGATATCTGGGGCTGGTGTTGATCCATGGTAACAGCTACTTAAGTTGGTTGGTCGCCCAAGTAGGGCGATTTTGCTAACACCCCTAAAAACCAACACCCTATACAAGAAGGTTGCAAAATCGAGTCCAAGCGTCGATCCGGGGGTGGGGTGGGGTGGCGCATGTTAGACCCTGAGTCCAAAGAACCAAAACCGTCAGGGCCCGGGGCTCCTATTTTGCAGACAGTGGATACTTAAAATCTTGGAATAGCAATCTGGTGGATTACTAGGGGGGCGTTCTACCCAAAGTGTGGGATTCCCTCTCAAATAGAGCACCCCCTGCTTTTTCACACCCTGCCCAAGGAAAAACCATCCACGAGTTGAGTTGTGCTTGCATCGAAGCATCCTCGATGGCACATTGTGATTTATGGGACGCGCCCAGATTGCCAGAGGCCTCCAGTTGCAAGCTTGGATTCTGGCGAGTGGGTAATAGACGTCACAACAGGACAGATTCTAGCAGAACGGGTCCAGCATCTTGCTTTTATGTTTGCTCCATGGCTCCACGTCGAGAGCCTATCAACATGTGTTCGCTTGCGTTGATTGTTTTGTTTTGTTCGAGCAAGTCAAACAGCAGTTGGGCGCTTGACAGGCCGACATAGGAGTGCTGGGAACTGGGAACACATCCAGCATCGTTTGGGGTCTCAGATTATTGTCTTTCAATTGTTCCTGATCCAAGGGGAAGTGCATGCCACATGCGCGATGTTGATTCCGAGACAAAGTGAGAGATTGGCCTTACCAGCCCCGACGACAGTTCACCGAAAGCTTGCTTAAGATTGGCAACCAAAAGGTGCTGTTTCAAGCAAGGGCATTCTTTGGGTCCCGGGTGCCTGGCGGTCCAACTTCACTGTCGCCGGGGCTTCTGGCAAATTGCCGGCCTGTGCCGATTTTGCACGTCAGGTGTTCAACGAGCTGCGACAGTGCACCTTGTACGGGCTGAGGGTCTCCGTGGTGACGCACTGCCGGGGTCCCATTGAAACTGCAGCAAGGGGACGATTTGAACGCCCAAAAGCGCCATTTCAGTAGTTTCGGTTTCTTTTTTTCTTCTTTTTTTCTTCTTCTATTTTTTCATCTATACATATAAATATATATATATATATATATACGTGTGGTTACAGCACCAGCACCAGCCCCACCCCGCCCTTTCGCTTCGCGCCTCGCTCTTTTCGCTTCGCGGTCGAGGCTACGAGTGCGGCATGGCCTCGGTGAACTTGCTGCGCTCCGTGCTGGCCTCCCAGAGCATCCGGCCAGGCCGGAAAGCTGGCAGGAAGGGCTTCCGCGCATGGGCACGGGTCAAAAAAAACCAGGGACTGAGGTGGTAGTCTTTGGTTCCATTGATCAGGGCAAGCCATTTTCGGTACACGTTTTTGACCCACAGCCGTATGTTGAAAATGAGGGGAATGCGGGAATCCGAAAGCAATCCATGCGAAGACTTGGTAAGGCAACCATCTTTGAGCAGAAGTCGAAGTCGGAAACTGGTTGGTGGGGGACACCCCTTCTTCCACTTTGGCGGTATGATCAAATCCTGCGGCCAGGTCAGGGGACTTTGTTCCAAGGAAACCCCACGGGGAAATCCCAGTTATTTTCCGAGTCCCAAAACGGAGGTATGCCGTATGCTCTCATTTCTGTTGGGGTCAGGTTCTTGCTTTTGTTTCTTTCGGGTTCGCTGCAAGGCATCGTTGGCTCCCAGGTTTGCGCCGCGTTCCAAGGGAACCTGGGGGAGTAAAGGGCCATGGCTGCTGGTCTGGGTAGGGGATGGATTGTGGTTGGAACACCCTGAAACAGTGAGACTTGTTTGTACTGGTTGTTGGCCCACATGTCCGATTTGTATCAGTTGGGATTGGATTGTACTGGTCGGCGGACATCAATTCCAATGTCAATGTCCAGGTTGCCAATTAGACATCAACTCGGATGGCCCGGGACGAATCGCGCAGTGGTTAGTAGCCATGGTCACAACAAGCCACGGGACGAATCGCGCAGTGGTTAGTAGCCATGGTCACAAAAAGCCACCTAAACCCATGGTTGCTTACTAACCACTGGCTATCTCCCGGAGCGTCCAAAACCCCGCGTGGAAAATCCTTCGAGCATCTCCTTTTCAATTCGCTTGTTTACCTTGTTTTGACTCTGACTCTTTCGAGCGCTCCTTTTCCCGGAGTGCGAAGGAGCTCCAAAGGCACGGTCGCTCAGACTTCCCAACAGGCTCGCCCAAGGCCGCCGAGTTCCATAAGCTCTGCCGGAACTTTGCGCGGGCGCCAAGTGTCCCACAGAAAAAGGGCGGCTTTCCAACGCAAGTTGAGAGCCCTCCCGGGATCAACATTGCCCTTCTCTCACCAGAGCTCATGGTGGCCAAGTTAAGTTGTTTGCAAGTCCCCACGGCGATAACCCTCTGTGTTAGTGGATAACCCAGGTGGCGAGCCACTTGCTAGCTTCATCCATTTCACACGCAGGTTGTGCCGATCATAAGGCAATTCAAGAGAAAAACTGCGAGTTGCACGGCAGGCGAGGGGGGAGGGTGAGCGCGTCTGCCTGCATTTTTTGTGTGGCCTTCTCTGTTTTTCCTGGTTGCCTTTCTTCCAGACACCTTCCTGACGCGACATTGCGGGCTCACAAATCTGGAGCACCGGAGGGTCCCCTATGGTCCATGAGGCGCCGTGTTTCTCCTGGAACGATCAACCATTGCAGTTTCACAAAAGGAGTTCCCCGAAAACCTGTGGAACTCGGGTGCCGGTTTCCTGTTTCGTTTCCCTTCTCACCTCCAAGCGCAGTTCTATTTATCTTCAAAGAAACCGAAGACCTTTTAAGGGTTGCCAAAGCCCCACCCCGACCTTGTGGGCTGCAAACTTGCCACTCAGCCAACCCGAACCCGGGCAACTCACTCCATCCGCTCGCTCAGGCGGACATCCTGATGCCGCTGGTGGCCTCCCACCTGGAGGCCCTCTTTGGCAGCTTCGCGAGGCCTGGATCGAAGGCAATTTTCGGGTCCATTTGGCTGGGCAATAGGGTAACCGCATGGGTTGCCGTTTTCCTCCATTGGGCTGCTGAAAACTAGGTCAATTTCATCTTTTGGTGGCTTTAAACATTACCATGTGGCCAATTTGAGGCAAGTTTGATGCTTAGAGTTGACATATGGGTCTGTATCGAAATAGGGATTACCCATCTTGGGATGTGTTTTTTGAGGGTACCTGTTGTTTGGGTTGGTTTAAAGGGAAACCCAAAGGAACACTGAAGCTGTTTTCGGGGCCCAAGTCTTACGCACGCCCACGTCGAACGGTAGGCTAGACGTGGGCGCCATCGTGGGGTCAATGGTGCCGGATCTGATCACCGAGTATCTCCCGGAGCCTCGGTTTGCCATGAGGGCCAGTGGGAAACCCCCCGAACCTCCAAACCAAAGCAACCAACTGGAGGGAAGCTTGTGCCGATGTGACCTGAGTCATGCAATAGTTGGGCAACACCCCCAACATATTCCTCAGACTTTTGGACTTTCAGAGTTCTGAGAGGGAAATGACGTATGTTACTGGGAATTCAGCTGGAGCTGCCAAAGCCCACTTAAACAGCGCGAGTTGCGCGGTTTGCGATGGAGCTGACAATGCGCATTTTGCGCACAGCGCTTGTGCTAGGAAGTTGCACTTGTTGAGCTGGAGCCGACCCCCCAAGTGATTTCCATTCGGTTCCCCTTTGCAACCAACCCAAAAAGCGCACCTGTGAAAAAGGACAGACCCATCTCCCACCCTGAGAATATATCTTGCGACTTCAACCGCCGTGTCTTGAGGATAGATCAAAAAATGGAGGGTCCTATGATGCTTAGCACAGATGTTCGAACATTTGAACATGTACTTGTCATCTTCGTTTGAAAGCGAGGAGCCCGAGCTCTCAGAGCTGCCGGAAGAGGAGCCGGCGGAAGCGGCGGAGGCGGACGCGGCGGAGGCGGAAGCGGAGGCGGCGGATGCGCCGGGGCGCTTGGATGGGCAACCGGGAGGAGGAGGTTCTGGGGTGTTGTGCGGGGGATTGGGGCAGGGGAAAGGGGGGATTGGGGCGGGTTCAAAGTAGAGGGCGTTGGTTTCAGCTTCCCCCGAAATTTGGAAAGTTTAGGGTTGGGCAGAGTGAAAAAGCGAGACTCAGAGAGCATGGCCGTGCTGAGGCCGAGTCCAGAGGCGCGAGTCGGCTTTGGGGCTCGACTCTTCTTTTTCAGAGTCGAAGGATACCACGAATCCCTCCATTCGCTGTACCTCAAATCCCTGCAGTTGGAGATTTCTCAACACTTGGCTCATTTGATTTGATTCGCAAGTCTGCAAGAGAAATTCGAATCCGTCGGACGGTTCTGGGAGACACTTGATCCGAGACGAAGTACCCGACAAACATGGCACAACCCGCATATTCTGGCTAATCCATAGTCCTTCCATGTTGGCCTGCGAAAGGAAATCAGGCTTTTTTTTGTAGCGATTCCCCGCAAAGGATCGATGATTAGGATTGAACAACCATCCACTTGGAACAGTCCATACATCCCTTGTGACGTTTTTTTTTTTTTTTGGGGGGGGGGGTTTGCGTGTTAGGGTTAGTTCTGACATTTGTTTTTCATGTTTGTTTTCTTATTCTTATTTTGCTCAAGCAAGGAAATGGCATGTCCAAGCCTCGCAGGAATTTATCAACGTGAAGCCAGTCCAAAATTTCGGCAAGGGAACAATCGAATTGATCCATCCCATGGTAACTCCCTTTCCCTGCTTCCCCAAAGAAGACCCTTATTTGCGTGTGGGTGGAGGCTTGGGGGGGGCGGGGGGCTAGATCTTGTGAAACTTGGAAACGGGCTTGGGCTGACGGTGGGATGTGGTGGGCCCTTTAGTCGGGATTTTGACAGACATTAATCCGCTAACTGGACAGAGAAGGGATCCGGAAAGCAAAGGACCTTCATGGAGCTTGTCGTATTCCGTGAGTTGGTTTTGATTAGTTTATGCCGCCCTTCCCGCCCCTGACCAGCAGCCAACCCCTGCGTGGTGTTGGGCAGCTAGACACAAACGTTCTGCACGAGGATCCTCCTTCAATGCCAGGTGTTGTATTTGTTCCCATTCAGGCTACTAAACCAAATTGCCCATGATGATGGGAGAGCCATGTCAAAATGATGGACCCCGTTTTGTTTGCTGAAGGGGGAGACCCCTATTTTGAGAACCCCCTCATAAACTAGCAACAGCCGGGTGCACTTGTGACCCCCATGATCCACTGGAGCTCTGGGTTGAAGGGGACCTGGGTCTGTGCTGCTTAGGAAGTATTTTTGGCTGAACCCTGTCAAAGAACATGCCGCCCCGGGATCTTCAGGTATGGATCCTTACAATCGAACAATTGGCCACTGGCAGCCATTGGTATATGGGCGTGAACTTGAAGGACCCAAACTGGTGAACATCAAAGTTCGGTGTGGGTTGATGTCCACCATATACTCGTGAGGTGGTTCCAAATAAACCATCATAGCCATATAAGCCTTTACGTGTGCTATATGGAGTCACGTTTCGGGTTTAACGATTGAAACACTTGCCTGCACGCAGCCAGAGTTGGTGGTAGGTGCGTGGGGGACCGTGTCCACTCTGCTCGGGCCGCTACAGTATCTTCAGGTGTTGCACGGTTTGCAAGAATGAGCGAATCTTCATACTTTGTATGGCCAGAATCTTGTCTGCTACTTTAGCCTTCAACCGAATCTCGGCAGACACAGAGAGAATCTTTGTATGGCCAGAACCAAACAATGGCCGAATCTTCTTGGGTTCTGGCCATACTTTCCTTGGCTCGCGCCCAAGACGCGGCACGCCGCAGGCCTCGCCTGCGCCGCCGGCGCCGGAGGGAAACCTTTCGATGCCGTGACGCCGCAGCTCGCGGCGTTTGCGCGCGGGAGAAAAGTGCCCGGGAATTGTGGCTGAGGGCATCGGAGGTGCAAATGGGATGTGCTTTTGCAGGGAATGGAAGTTGAACGAAAAACGCACAGAGGGTTACATGAACGGGTCTTGTTTTGGTGCCCTCAACGTGATGGTTTTAAACTCAAACTAAGAGGATACCAAGAATTTAGATGGGTCCCCCCCATTTGACACATACCCGAATGCAGCTGCGGTGTGTAAAACAACACAAAACCTAACAAGGCTTTGTTTACCAAAAAGGGATCTGTTTCAGAGCGAAGCCACAGGCAAGAACACTCGTTGTGGGGGCAACGTGCTAGGACCCCATACGGAAGATATTCCACAAGCACAAGAGATGGTTGTCCCCGCCCAAACCGAAGGTTTGGGTTGAAACCAAGGGAGTGCGTTGGGGGTGGTGGCGCAGCTTCATTATACAATCGTCATAGAAACTGCTACAGAAGATTCCATGGGAAAATAGCCTCGACCCGATTTTGGGTTGGTATTCGGCTAATTTCCCTGTATAAGTTCCTCGTTCGCTGGTTTCTATGAACTCACTTCCCCGAATTTCTGGACTGTGAACTTTTTGGGAAGAGCTCTTAGTGGCAACCAACAAGTTTAGACCTGTGGCCACGGACGGCCTGTGAAGACTGCGAGCGTCGAAAGGAGCCATAAACATGTGTATCCCACCGGACGATTTGTTCGTTTGGGGATAAGAATGGTCATGCATTGTAAACATTCTCATTGAGGCATGAACCTTGAAACAACATATTGACGGCTATGTCAAAGGTAGCAGAAAGCTTTGATTTTGAACCACTCGGCGCTTTGACCAATTTCGTTGATCGCAGATCTTTGTTGACCCCGCAGGCCAAGAACCGGTCGAAGAGGAGTAAGGCGCGGGCCGATGGGTTGATGATGGGCCGAGACGGTGACCCTCAGGCTAACAGACCCGGCTTATGCTGGTGTGTACGATTGATCATTTGGCAGTGACCCACCTTTTTTTCGAGAGAGAAAGAGGGAGCAAGCGAGAGAGAGAGAGAGAGAGAGCGAGAGCGAGAGCGAAAGAACAGGAGAGAGCGTTGTGTGTGGGTGTGCCTGCGGCCCCAGCTTCAAGAATATTTCCCTTTCAACAAGTTCCGACAGGCCATCGCTGAGCGACCGGCCTTCGCAGACAAAAGGTTTGCAGTCGACTGGGTGGAGGAAGTATTGAATCAGCACATGCACATGACAAAAGGTTCTCCAACCGGGGGGGGGGGCCCACCCAAACAAAGAGTGATGCGGCTTCAATGTGGTTTTGCTTTTTCAACCAAGCCAAACAAGGGTCCACATACATATCACAAAAGCTTGACTTGCTGTGCAATATTTCTGGCGATCGCTTCTTTTTCTTGTTCTGCCAGATGACTAGGGCTTCGCCTTCCAAGCATCCCCGCGCTCGTTGAATCGAGCCGTTTCACCTTGCCCTCGTGACTGGCGTGGCGAAAAGAGTGTAACTCTCAAGTCAAATGGCCTGTCTGGCGGCTTCTGGACGCATTTGAGGGTGGATCCAGGAATCGTCAACCGAAAAAGGTTGCAACTAAGCTCCTTGTTCCTTGACCACCGAAAAGACAGACCGAGAAAGGGGATGCGCACGTGCACGCACGCCCGAACGCGCACGCACGCACGCAAACACAAAGACACAAACACACACACACACACAGAAACACACACAAACTCACCAACACACAAGCACTAACATGCACACACACACACACGCACGGTCACACAAACATACAAACACAAACACACAAACACAACACAACAACACACATGCAAAAACACAAACACACGCGCACACACACACACAACCACACCAACACACACAAACACACACACGCACACACACACACACACACACACACACACACACACACACACACACACACACAGACACACACACACACACACACACACACACACACACACACACACACACACACACACACACACACACACACACACACACACACACACACACACACACACACACACACACACACACACACACACACACACACACACACACACACACACAACACACCCAACACACACACACACACCACACAC